GTAGTTCTAATGCGAGAGAGAATGTCAAAAAGAGAACCATTAGCTGACCGTTTCACTTACTTTTTTTTTCCGACTATTTGTTTTTTTCTGGTAATAACCCCGAGTAGATGCTTCTCTTTTTCTAGCCGGCCAAATAGTCGGTTATAGTGCCAAAAGAAAACAAAGAAAAGGAAAAGAAAATACACCATATTCCAGCCGTCGGGCCTTTAATGCAATTCCAGAACCACGTTTCCCAGCTCAATAGTCTGTCTTTAACCTCCCACCCTACCGCTGAATAGATTAATATCTTAGAGTTCGGAGCCAGCCTTAAGACAAGCTGCCCGTTTTTGAGATCTACAGCCGCCCACCGACCACGAGATCAGGAGGGGGGAAGGTTCCTTCCTCCATATTTCCATCAACTCTTTTCGGATGAGCAGTGATATATCCGTGCCCTCAATCAAGTGCAAGCTCAGACCGAAATGACTCCCCCCAAAAAAGGGGGATGGTGCTACCACGCCGTCGGTACGAGTTCTCCGCGGTTCCCCTTTTTCTGTCTGGCTAGGCTAGCAGGCTACACCGCACGCGCGCCGTTATGCTACGCTCAATAATGAGCACGGACTTGAGTAGTGGTGGTAGGTTGTTGACTTCCTGTCGGATCCGAAGGGGTTGGTTGGACTTCGGAGGAATTGGGGTCGAGACTAGGTTCTAGAAGGGGTGTCGGTCTGGTGGAGTATAGCTAAGGCAATAGTCGATAACTTGGACTTACGTGGTGACTTCGCTTTGTTGTAGTGTCTATTCTGCTGGAGCAGGGCAATGAATGGGTGGATGCAGCAGCAGCAGCAGGCAGCGGCCGGGTGGGAACGAGGGTAAACAAGCATTCCCCCCCCCTCCCCCCAACTCACTGCACATTTGCATCGAATTTTTGTCTGGACTTCTCCTTGTGATCACTATGTGGACACTCAGTACTTATTCATAACATGAAGGTCGGAAGTATCCCTGCTCTTTTGTCCTGATTAGTCTTCTATGGGATGGGATGGGATGGGTACAGTGCAAGCATGCACAAGTTGACTAACTTAGCTTCTACAAAAGTACCTCACTGAATTCACAAGTCCTGTATGTACCTAGAACGACTCTCGACACAATCAAAATTAATAACCTTATTGACATTGAGTTATTAAGTTGATATTAAAACTCCCGGGGGCTCCGAAATTCATGTCCGTCTCATGTGAAGCTGCATGCGTAGTTTGTGGTAAGTTAGTGCCATATTTCTAGTCTAGGGCACAGGTAGAGGTACAGGGATAGGGACAGGGTTGGGAGAATCCCTGTCAGCAAATCGATTTACTCCCATTCTTTATTATGAGAAGAGGTTACGGTTACGTACTGGGCTAGTCACTGTGCATACTCATACTAGAGAGAACTACAAGTAAGACATGCATGCACGGCTTCGCACTAGACCAGGGGATGGGATTGGATGCGTTCTTCTTCATCTTGTAATTTGATTTTTTCCTTTTTTTTTTTTTGGTAGAGGAAATTCTTTTTCTCACCACAAAAAAGAAAAGGTAGGAATCTAGACTATCTCTCGTGGTGGTTACTGGATCAGGTAAGGTAATGGGTACCGTCTGCCATAGATGTAGATGTACGGAGACTGTACTACATAATATAATGATGGTGCGATTGATCCCAGCAGTTACTGAGTATTGTATTGTACACTATCCAGACGAGCTTCCGCTGCTGCTGCTGCCGCCGCTCCTACTGCTTCTTCCGGCTTCGTACTGTTCCTCCTAGAGGTCTGGCTTGATTCTATTCCTGGAAACAACCGTGGGAGAAGAGGGCTGTGATGTGATGAGGACAAGAAAGAAAGACAGAGCCAGGCAGGAGAGGGGGATTGGGATCGGCCCGCTTTGCATTCGCTTAGTTGAATTGCAAGGCAGGCGGATGGGCACTCGAGGGTGCCTTGTTGCTTGGTGCTTGGTGCTTGGTGCTTGGTGCTTGGTGCTTGGTGCTTGGTGCTTGGTGCTTGGTGCTTGGTGCTTGGTGCTTAGTGGCTTGGGGACAACAGGCGGGAAAGGCAAACAGCAATCACAACCAAGAAATGCTGGTGGACGCTGATCGGGGCGGGATTGCTGTCGATCAGGCAACGTCAACACTGGGGCTGAAAGGGACAGCCTCGAAGCGAACTGGAAGGACGGAAGCATTGAGCGTCGATCCGTCTGACTGAAATAATTTGGGCTTTGCAGGTGATAAACGAGAGCCTTGTTGGGCAGTTGGAACTGCGTAGGTAGTAAGCGAGTGCTGATATGTTGGGATTACTAAGAAAATAGCATTAAATAACAGGCAGTAGTTGGGCATCTTGTCTAAATACTACTGCTACTACTCCAAAGTAAAACAAGTGAATCGAATCTTCCTCGATTATTCAAAACCTTAGCTATAATACACAGTCGGCAGATAGTACATGTTTTTTTGGTAGTCTCGCGGGAAACGAATGTACTCCATTGAAGGGGATTTGCAGCAATGAACATATCAACAATAAAGCAAATACATCGTTCCTCTGACCTCTTGCAGCTTTGTACAAAGATAGGAAGCAGACAGTTAAGACAATCTTCAGAAGAATTAGAATTAGAAATGAATTAGGTATATACAGGAGCTTTCTTCGCCATGCATGCCGTTGCTATCGTCTCATGTCGGGTATGTTGGTGCTGGCTTGCTTACTCGCAAGCAGCGACGCTCACAGTGGTGGTAACAGTGACAGTGACCACGTCAGAGCCGGAGCCGGAGCCGGAGCCTGCGACAGGGGCGGTGGTAATCTGAGGGGCGGAGCCTCCCTCAGCGGCGGTGCCGCTGGGGGCAGGAGAGCCCTCAGTCTGAGTAGCAACAGGGATGACGGTCTCAGTAACGAGGGTGTCGCAAGGAGTGGTGGTGGAGTCAGCGCTGGCGCCCTCAGGGACAGTGCTGGAAGTAGGGACAGCAGGAACGCTGGCAACACCAGAGGGGGCCTCACCACCAGCGGCGCCACCAGAAGGAGCGGCACCAGAGCCACCCACAGTCTGGGTACCGACAGGAACGACAGTCTCGCTAACGGAGGTTTCGCAAGGAGTGGCGGAGGCATCACCACCAGCACCGCCGGCAGCACCACCCGAGGGAGCGGCACCGGAAGGAGCAGCACCAGAGGGAGCAGCACCGCCAGCGGGAGCGGTGCCAGTGGGGACAGCACCAGTCTGAGCAGGAGCAGTTGGGACAGAGCCACCCTCAGTGTTGGTAGCAACAGGGATAACAGTCTCGCTGACAATAGTGTCACAAGGAGTAGTGGCAGAATCGGCGCTGGCACCGCTAGGAGAAGCACCGTTGGAGCCGCCGTTGGGAGAAGAGCCAGAGGAGCCGCTGGAGCTGCCGCTGGAGCCGGAGCCGTTGGAGCTGCCAGAAGAACCACTAGAGCCGGAGCCGCTGGAAGAACCGCTGGAGCTGCCGGAAGAACCGCTGGAGCTGCCGCTAGGAACACCACCGGTAGGAGAAGCACCGCTAGGGGAGCCGCCGTTGTTGCCAGCAGGGGCGCTAGGAGAAGAACCACCAGCAGTGTTGGTGGCAACGGGAACAACCGTCTCGCCAGTGAGAGTCTCGCAAGGGGTAGTAGCAGCACCGCTAGGAGAGCCGCCGTTGTTACCGGCAGGAGCGCTTGGGGAAGAACCGCCCTGGGTGTGGGTAGCAACGGGGACAACAGTCTCACCGGTAAGAGTCTCACAAGGGGTGGTCGCAGCACCAGCACCAGAGCCAGAGCCAGAGCCAGAGCCAGAGCCGTGACCGGAGCCAGAGCCAGAGCCGCCAATGGAACCAGAGCCGGAACCGTGGCCAGAGACAGAGCCAGAGCCGGAAGCAGAGCCAGAGCCGCCAACAGTGCCAGAGCCAGAGCCGCCGATAGAACCAGAGCCGGAGCCGGAGCCGTGGCCAGAGCCGCCGCCAATCACACCGCCGGTAGGAGAGGAGCCACCAGGAGTGACAGGGGTGCTAGAGGGAGTGGGACCCTTAGGAGAGCCAGAGCCGGTGATGTCGGTAGGGCTGACACCGCTGGGGCCAGTGCCGGAAGGAGAAGAGCCGCCGCTGATGCCAGAGCCAGAGCCAGAACCATGGCCAGAGATAGAGCCAGAGCCAGAACCAGAGCCGGAGCCGCCAATAGAGCCGGAGCCGGAGCCAGAGCCGTGGCCAGAGACAGAGCCGGAAGCAGAAGCAGAGCCAGAGCCACCGACGGTGCCAGAGCCGGAGCCGGAACCGTGGCCAGAGACGGAGCCAGAGCCCGAACCAGAGCCAGAGCCGTGGCCAGAGACCGAACCAGAGGCAGAAGCAGAGCCGGAGCCGCCAACAGAGCCAGAGCCAGAGCCGCCAATGGAACCAGAGCCGGAGCCGTGGCCAGAGACCGAGCCAGAAGCAGAAGCAGAGCCAGAGCCGCCAACAGTGCCAGAGCCAGAGCCACCGACGGTGCCAGAGCCAGAGCCACCGACGGTGCCAGAGCCGGAACCGCCAATGGAGCCAGAACCAGAGCCACCGACGGTGCCAGAGCCGGAACCGCCAATGGAACCAGTGCCGGAACCGTGGCCAGAGACGGAGCCAGAAGCAGAAGCAGAGCCAGAGCCGCCGATAGAACCAGAGCCGGAGCCGTGGCCAGAGACGGAGCCAGAAGCAGAAGCAGAGCCAGAGCCGCCAACGGTGCCGGAGCCGGAACCGTGGCCAGAGACGGAGCCAGAGGCAGAAGCAGAGCCAGAACCGCCGACAGTGCCCGAGCCAGAGCCACCGATGGAACCTGAGCCAGAGCCGTGACCAGAGACGGAGCCAGAGGCAGAAGCAGAGCCGGAGCCGCCAACGGTGCCAGAGCCGGAGCCATGGCCACCGGTGACATCGGTAGGGCTGACACCGCTAGGACCGGTGCCCGAAGGAGAAGGAGAGCCAGAGCCACCGACAGGAGAAGCGCCAGTGGGGGTGGCGGGAGCGGTGGAGGCAGCGACGGGGGCAGTAGATGGGCTGGAGATGAGCTTCGTGGTCGAACCGGAGCCGGGGGTGATGGTGGGGGCACCCGGAATGCTGCAGCCGGTGAGCCATTCGATGATGAGGAGGTTGAAGCTGCTGCTGATCTCGATGTCAACAGCACCACCAAGGACGGCGGCCAACTCGGCACGGGCCTCAACGGAAAGATAGACGATGCTCTCGCCGGAAAGGAGGAGCCAGAGGGTACCACGAAGGCTGGATCCGAGGGATGCCTCAATAGTGCCGGTAAGGAAGGCCTCGAGCTCAGTGATGAGGCTGGTGGAGATGTCAATGCTGACTTCAGTGACAGAGAAAGAGAGCCAGAGGTAGAGAGCGGCCTTGAGTTCGGCTCCCAGGCTGCAGCTGGAACCGGACAACCAGACGGCCAAGGCCGCACGGGCATCGGCGGAAACGGAGGTGGCGAGCTTGCCGGCAATACAGGCCTCGAGGACGGCCTGAACATCGGCCTCAATGTCAGCAGAAACACTGGACTCAAGGAAGGCAGAGATGTAAGCTTGGGCAGTCGCGGTAAGAGCACCCTCGCCTTCAATCCAGGCGCTGATGGAAGCACCAACAGAGACGGCAGTAACACCGCCAGTGGGAATGGAACCGATGGCAACGACACCAGTCTCAATCTTGCCCTCCAACCAGGCCAGGATGGCAACCTTGAGCTCGGCACTCAGGGAGCAAGACGAGCCATTGAGCCAGACCTTCAAGGCGGCGGCGAGATCGGCGTGGAGATCAGCATGAACACCACCACCCGCGCAAAGAGAAAGACCAGCGCGGAGGTTGGCATCCAGCTCAAGACCGACGGAGCCGGAGATGAACGCGGACAGCGAAGACTGGAAGGAAGAGCTGAGAACCACGCCGGCCTCAAGGGTGGTGACATCAAAGATACCGTCAATGGTCACGTAAAGGTCACCGGCGGCAGCCGTCTTGGCGCAAGTAGGAACGAACAAGGACAGCCCGGCGCACACTTCGGTCGAGAGAGTTGCTGAAGCCTCACCCTCACACCAGGCGAGGAGCTCGGTCTTCAGAGAAGCCTCGAATCCAGCATGAGCGCGGATCCAGGCGGCCAATTCGGCACGGATGTCGGCATCAATCGCACCGGCCTTGCAACCCAAGGCACCTCCGTTGAGGGCAGCGGCAGCCCGGGCACTGATACCAGCAAGGACGGATGTTGAGCTTTTTCCACCGCCGAGGATATCTTCAACGATGGTCGTCAGGTCCTTGCCGAATTCGGACAGGATCTCAACGGCGAGACCAAGAGTGCGGGGGTCTAGATCCTTGGTGTCCTTGGTGGGAAGAGCGAGGACATAGTTCGCCAGACCGGCGAGGAGAAGAAGCTTGCTGGAACGCATGATGCCAACGAAGCGAAAGGGTATCAGGAAAAGGTCGATAAGGTAATAGCGAATGTCGATCACGAGTCAATCGGGATGGAACGATATAAAACAATAAGAAAGGAAAGAACTGATGAGTATGGCCGGCACTAGGGCAGCCTGGTCAGGTTAACGACAGACAGGTGTAAATGATAGACAGGGAAAAAAACAGAATGAAAGACAGAACCCCAAACGACAAGCGAAAGGAAGTGACTGACAAAGGGCTTGATGTCCGTTCAAACGAGGTGATCATCATCGAGGTATATATACCCCTGGGGACGGGGGACACTTTCCCGTGCCTGCTGGGCCGGGGGCCGATGGAAACCTGCACAAACCCCCAGTCTGGAACCAACGAATGGAGCAGTGCAGCTTGCTAGAGCATGTTGGTCCATCTGTGATCGAGGGACCCGGATCTTCGAGACCAGGTTAGCCAGGTGGAGCAGCCGGGTGCCAGTGGAAGACTAGAGAAGCGAACCAGACCCGACTACCGTTGAATGTGGGCTCATCCGAAACAGACTAAACAAAAAGAAAATACTATTTCAGGCAACGGGGGATTGCTAACTAGGAAAGCATTAGTTCCGACTTTGTGCGGGTCACAGATGGCCCTTCCCGTCCGTGTTATTTTTTTTTCTCTAGCCCACGCAGTGGACGCCGTAAGCAGGGGGAGAAGAAGGCTAGGCCAGTAGGCCAGTAGGCTAGCGGTAGGCCAGTAAGCCACAGCACCCCAAGCCAGCCACCATCTCGGAGGGTGGGCGGACAACGGAGAGTTGGAGGAGGCACCGTTGTCAGGGCAAAAGCCCCTCATTAAAGACGCTAATGTCTGAAGATAGGGCACCGAGCAAAAACGGTGAGCAATTTGGAATCCAGCAGCTCGTGGACATGTCGGAACGGGATTGACTGAGAGGAGGGAGACCATCAGCCGTAAACCGTAATGTCTGCATCCCCGATCGACTACTTAGCCTCGCAGACATCAGCATCGTCGGCTCGAGAAATCATCATCGGCACAGATTTGTGGGGAAATGAGCGACCGACAGCCAACCCACACGGGATGCAGTATTGAGAGTCTGGAACTCTGGATGGGTGTTGGATCATCACAAGCCATGCAGGAGCATGCATCACGATGGACAATGACGACAAGGCGACAAGCATAGACCGTAGTAGGATAATAGACTAGCAGGCTAGCAAGTCGTGTATGGGAGAAGCGGAACCAGACAGGCTTGAATGGAAGGCGACCATGGACGCGACCCATGGACGATCATCTCAACCGGTGTTTTGTGAGTTTTGTCCCTGAGAGTTTTAGTTTCCACGGAAAAGGGCAAAACATGAAACTCCCCCATCAAGCCCAGCTCCTCTCCACTTTTGGGGAGGGCTTTTCTGAAAGTCAAGAGTTCGGACATAAGAAAAGAGGCGCAGGAGTCAAGAAACCTAAGAGTAAGTTTACTGCATCAAAAAAAATGGGAGTCTGAGGAGGGAGATGAATAAGCAATCGCCCCATCCACACGATTTTGTGACAGATGCAAGTTGACTGGTCAGACTTGCTGTTCGGAGACTTGCAGGATTTCACTTCCAACGGAGAAAATAAGTAAAAGAAAATTAGAAAAGGAAATGGATAGCAGTAACTTGGAAGTGAAAAAGAAGAACAAAAAATACAAGTTGGAATATCAAGCAAACATGCACCTACACAGGCATCCATTGGGTGGCAATGGGACCACTCAACCCAAACAAACACAAGCATAGATCTTATCTCTATTGACTGTACATACTGGTACTCGACTTCATGCTCTGGATACTCAGCTCAGAGCTCAATTTGCATCTTCCGACTTGGCGGCTCAGTATGTGGTCGGTGTCAATAAGGGTCTTCCTCTGTACGCCCCAAATATAGTACCTCAATTTCCCTCAGGTTGGCGGAAGGACTGCCGTTACCACTACAGAGGTTCAAACAAGCCGGCTGTGGCTTGCTACTGAATAGCGTGGTGGACAGCTAGGCAATCACCTCCTGTCGAGGAGGAGGCGTTCGTAGCAATCTAGTACAGGTGTACGACCTGCCCCATAGCAGACCAAAAAGGTACTCCAACAGAATCATGACGCCTCTGTAATGTAATGTGTGTGCATAGTCAACCAGAGTGTTGTCATTGGTATGGAGGAAATAATTGTGGAGGCATTGGAAGGTGCAGCATTAGCGTGTTAGTCGGTGCTCTAGCGTCGGGTTCCTAGTCAGGGACAGAAAGCTGAGGATGCATAGTCAAACTAGGGCCGTCGTTAGCGTGCACGAACAAACACAAGCTTGGATGCAGCAACAAGAGCTGAAATACAATCAAACAATTCCATCCATTGAAAGCCATGCATCTGCGTGAGACCTGAACCGTAGACCACTGCGGGCTAGATTTTCGATGATCAAGATGGGTGTGTTGTCGATGCTAGCCAGTAAGCCAGGGGTAATCTTTGCCCGAACAGGCGTTCCTGACCCAAAGTGCTTATACCCTTGGTTACGTTCTTTTGGGGGGCTCCAGTCCCCACCTCGACTTCGTTTCCCCCCAATGGCCTGAGCTGCCGGCTGCCCGCTTTACCCGATCCCTAGTTGAAGCACAAGTCCGGAGAGAATTGCAGACTGGATGCCCCTCTCCCCTCTTGCTCCCCACCTTTCGCCCCCCCTGTGACCTGTTGACCATCATAGCCAAAGGGTCAAGGCGCATCTCAAATCTTAACAGCCATTGTGCAAGCTCTGGAACAGAATAGTTGACTCGGAAGTGTGGTGCAGTGCTGGACTATAGGAACTTTAATTGGGGCAGCAAGAGTCATGTGTTTTGCGGAAGTGTAGGTTTAAGACTTTGACTTGACCCGGTTTTGAGCGAACCTCGGAGGTTTGCCTGATTTGAATCATTATTGACTGACCAGACCAGATCCGACCGGGTTACCCCTGGAGAACAAACCTGCAACTGAAAATTGAGCCAATCCAAAATGGAATAGGCGACCAGAAGCTGAAGGCGCGATGGTACGCTGTTGCTAATAGTAATAGTAGGTAGGTAGAAGTCGGGGCAGTTTGGACGAGACTATGGAATTGGTTGTGGTCCGTGAGAACGGAGAGATTCCGACAGAGAGGGAGATGCGGATATCAGGTGATCTGCCTGCTTGCCTTCTTGCTTCTACCGGTGCGCTCTTGATTTTTGCTTTTCTCCTGTTCGGAAGAGAGCCACCTTCACGTCGCCATGTTTCATGCTGGGACTAGTCTCGTCGTACTACCAGTCTACTCGTACCACTGAGTCACTGACTCTGGCCTGTTATTCTTAGCCTTGCCTCTCCACGGTTCATCGATCATTCTCAAAAAACCGATCTAAGACTATTTGCCCTGGCAGTCCCAAACTCTAAAGTGCAGCCAGCGGCCAGCCTATGTCAAAAGCCACGAGACTGTCGTGGCGGCTCTCTACGGAGTACTGTTATCCAGATAGGGGCTATCAGTCCGAGCAGGGCAGAATCGTTGCTGCTGCCGTTGCTCGTGAAGATGAATGTCCATTAAGCCACATCCCATGCTGATTACTTGACATCTACAGTATACTAATGGACGTTCTTGCAGCCTGAGTCTTGCTTCAGCAGATCAGCAGAGTGTGGGTCTCCCTTCCGAGATTTGACCGGATCGAAATCGCAAAACAAGAGATAGGGCAGGTGTGCATCGGTGGATATCCTATCCACTTCAGCAATCCAGGACGGGACTGCGTCGTCTGCTCTAAGGCGGAAGGTTCGGTAGGTCACACGTCACATCTCCATGCTCGATACTGGCAGGTGTGCCAAATGTGGCTAGGTGCAGGAGAATTTACGGCTTGTTCTCCAGGCAAGAAGCTATGACCATTCAACTTGCAGTGACGATCAGGATGTCGTGCCTCAGAACGACACTACCTAGCAGGTCACTTGGTCTGCCTCTGCTAATTATATCACGGAAGAAGCTTTGCGCGGCGGCTTTGTTGAAACGCGTCGGGCTGACGTTGACAACTTGGCTAGTCAGATATTCTTGGAAAGCCTCTTTTGACAGGTGAAACAAGGAGAAGGAGGATGCACAGCTTCGCACTCAAGGAAGAGGGAGGCCTAGATATCCAGGTATCCTGAAGCGGCGTCTGACCTGTTGCAGTTTCGACAAGACAAGTATCTTCTCAGTGTCTGGTCTGTCTCTTGTTGTCTCTTCATGGCACCCTTTGACCGCCAACCGTTGGAGATTGAGAGGACACGACTTGTGATCTGGATGGGTTCACACCCACAGACTGCTGAGGAGGTGGGTAGTAGCCATGGCCGGTGTACCATAGCTCTCTTGCAACTTTTTCGTAGTAATCGTGACAAGCTGCCCATTACATCAAATCTGAGATGTGAGAGTGAGAACGAACGGCTATTCTCAAATCCAGGCTTGCACGGAGAAGTCGAGTCCCGTGTGCAATAAATGTGGAAAACTGGTCTTGGTTGCAGTAATCATTTGTTTGATGCAAATGCTGCAGTATGCATATACAAATTTTGAAGCAAGGTCGATTTTATCTATGAGCACCCTGGCCCCCAAAGATCAAGTTCATGGCCAAAGGGCCTAGTAAGTAGCTAGGCATCTTCTATTGAAATTGCACACATGTGAGGATGCTCATAATTAGGACTGTCCAGACATCGAAATTTTCTGCAGATATATATTGCTTGCAGAAGTGTCATCTCCACATCCACAAGTCCAGGTATGAGCGAAGATCTCGGGTATGCAGATGTAATCGAACAAGCATATAAGGATATTAAACCATTGTGGTTATTGGTTTACAGTAGGAATGACACAATGCCCAGACCCTTGATGATGCGGTGTGCAGCAGGGCCAGTGCATGGCCGCTGATGCTGATTTGCGGGCAATTAATATGAACTTATCATTCAGCGCGTTTAAATATGTAGCTAAGAGTACAGGACGTACTTCGCTCCTCCGACTCCATTTGCATTACCACGAGATCGAAAGGAGGTTTGATGCAATTTACCGTACCATATATCCAGGCTGTGTTGATGCTGCCACCGAATTGCATCGAAAATGTATTGTTGATGCAGTGTATTGTAGTGTGTGTGTACCGTGCAGAACGCAGACTGCAGCGGCAGCCGATTGTTGTTGGGGGGTGCGATCGCCCGGGGCAACGAGTAAACCCACGTGACTTGGGTGCTCCCAGCCTCGCGCATTACGGCGCAAGTTCCATGTTTCCAATGTTTCCATGCCAAAAACGACGACAAAACACCAAAACTACCCCGACCTCCGACCTCGACATACTAACCCCTCACAGCAGGCACTTGGATCGTGCTTCTGGGAGGAGCCTAGGCCCGGACACTCTCTGGTGGACATGTCTATGCGACTTTGTCCCCAATTGTCATGATGGCCTCTCCTCATTCCTCCTCAACAGCAGCAGCAGCAGCAGCGTACAACACCCGGCTGCAGCGCCAACCTTCCTCCCGTTCAATGTCCCGCGCCGCGTCTCGCTCAGGATCCAGACGGACCTCACCAGAAGTGCGCAACTCACTCGCCTACCGTCACAGTGTATCCGCTGGGCAGTATGCCGCCGGCGACAGCTCGGATGAGGAGGTTCCCGAACCCAAGTTCAGCGCGTCCGTCAAGGCCTTACTCGACGAAGACGGACTCGACCTGTCACCGCGCTTACGCAACAAAAACCTGGGCTCGGCAGGTTCAAGCCAAGAGAGGCGCTCGCGCACCACCTCGCCCCTTGAGCAGTCGAATGGAAGCCCCGCGCCCCGGGTGGTTCGGATCGCTCCCTCGCTCAGCGGCCGGAGAGAAAGCTCGCCGTTAACACAGACCGAAAACGCCGAACATAGCGAACGAAACCACGTACAGAATGATTTCATTACGCCCGCACCGCGCACACGGAGCGTCCGTATCAATGCATCGCGCAGCAACACCCGGTCGCCTGCATCCCTGTCGCCGTCCCAGAGGCGATCGGCCGAAAGGAGCTACATCGACGACCAGGAGCATGGGAGCGCGACACGCTCAGGGGAGAAAAGCTACGACGATGACTATGCTCCGCGGCTGGGTACCGCATCCGTGCTCCGCACGCGAAACATTGAAGATATGGGCATGCACAGCTCACTGCGCGTCAAACGGGTCGGCCGACTGACCGGTACTTTCCTCAATGGGCCTGCGCGGAGAGGGGTATTACGACGCCAGAGTGAAGAAAACGAGATCCGAGAGACCGATTATGATGAAAATAACGATAACGACCACTACCACTACAAGAATACAGCGAAATCCTCCTCCCCCAAAGTCTCGTGGGCCGACCCGAGCCCGCCGACGAGAAGCGAGGAACGCCGTGACCGACACCGCGACCGGGATGTCATTGGCGACGGCTTATTTTCCAGATCGTCTTCTCCGAAGTCGTATGGCTCCCACTCCAAGTCCACCCCTGGCTCTTCGTCGGAAATGTCATCGAAACCGTCGAGCGCCAAGGACCAGCCGGTATTCAAAGTACCTCCCCCGCCAACGTTACCTTCGAATCGTGACCAGGAAAATGAGCCACCACCGACCTTCAAGCGGGTCAAACCGCAAGGTTTCAACCTGCTTGACAAACCTGTGGTCTACGAGGAAGAAAAGAAGGAGAAGGAGAAGGAGACGCCCGCAGACCGGAAAATCCTAGCCACGCGAAGCAACAATACCCCTCATCGACCAGCTCCGCCTCCCCCCAAAATGTCTGTTCTGGAAACTGCCACAGCTACCGGTGGAGCAGCTACAGCATCTCAGTCTCGCAAGAAGCGCAATCAAGTTTCAGTGAACCACAAGCCTTTCACACGGCTAGATTGCGTTGGCCGTGGAGGAAGCTCTCGTGTCTATCGTGTGATGGCTGAGAATTACAAGATCTTTGCCCTGAAGCGCGTTAATCTCGAAGACGTCGACCCCGTGACTTTGGCCGGTTACAAGGGCGAGATCGATCTGCTCAAGAAGCTTGAGAACCTGGACCGCGTCGTGCGTCTCTTTGACTGGGAGTTGAATCAGGATAAGCACACTTTGAGTGTACTGATGGAAATCGGTGAATCCGACCTTGAAAAAGTGCTTACTTATCGACTGAACGCGGAGGATGCACGATTCGATATCAATTTCACCCGTTACTACTGGAAGGAGATGCTCGAATGCGTACAAGCAGTACATGACTACAATGTCGTGCACTCCGATCTGAAGCCTGCCAATTTCCTGCTTGTTCAGGGCCGACTGAAGCTCATCGACTTTGGTATTGCAAATGCAATCCAGGACAACACTGTCAATGTGCATCGCGAGCAGCAAGTGGGAACGCCGAACTACATGTCCCCCGAGGCTCTGATTGACTCCAACGCCTCCCTCGGCTTGCCGGCAAGCGTGGGAAAGATGATGAAGCTGGGTAAACCCAGCGACGTCTGGAGTCTCGGATGCATCCTGTACAAGATGGTCTACGGCCAGCCCCCGTTCGCCAAGATCGCCAAGTACTACGAACGTATCCTGGCCATCCCAAATCCCAACGTGAAGATCGACTTCCCGGCCTTCGCGATAGGAGGCGTCCCCGTACCCCCCGGTCTGGTTCGTACCTTGAAACGATGCCTTCAAAGAGACCAGACCCTCCGGCCCACTGTCGAAGAGCTCCTCAGCCAGCGCGACCCCTTCCTATACCCCGACGCGCAGCTCGAGGCCGCAGTCCCCGTCACGCAAGATATGCTCAACCGGATTCTGGTCAATGTGGTCAACCACTGCCGTGTCCGCGGCATCCCGAAGGACGAGGAGCTTGCCGCCTGGCCGGCCGGTTTCTTTGCCAAGATCAAATCAGCCCTAGAAGAGGGTCCCTAGACTAACCCACACCCGATCGATCGTGCCAAGTGGTTCCCTGTCATACTCTCTGTGTCTCTGCATACATACCCTCTCACATAATTCCCTATGTCCTCTGATTGAAAGCCCCCGCACTTGTTTGGTATATTACCCATTATCTTGATATCCTGATTGAACCCGGCGTTGTCTAGTCCACCATCACCACAGATTGGGATGACGGTTGCGACCTTTTTCTTCTTTCTATCCTCCATCTCCCTTCTCTTCTCTTCTTGTTTCCCCTTATCCCATTCTTGGACCAACCCTTTCTTCTCGTTTTCTTCTTACCCTTTGCCCCACGCTTATTTTGGATAGCATCAAAGCACTGGGACGGCTTCAAGGGGTGATTCTATTATTGTGTGTGTCTGTCGCGCTTTAGCCCTGTTTGATCGTTTCTTATATCTGGTTGGGGTTACCATTGGAAAGCTCCAGCAGCAAGAGAGCATGGTGTATTCGGAGTTGTTTGTACTAGGTTTACAAAGATCTTTCTCTTCGTCTTCAATAATCTGGAATAGTATGGTTTCCCTTCGTTCATATGTTACGAGCTCAAGACACTTATTTAAATTCTCTCTTCGATGGGTGCATTGCATTGTGTTGTATGTTCTAGATACAAGTTGAGAAATGTGTTGGTTTCCATAGAGGCGGCGCAAGAACTGGTAGGAGAGGGAATGTGATTGCGATCAGCTTGTATGGGTTTCTTGATTATTCTCTTGATCCAGACACCACATAGCAACGAGGTCGACGAGCGACCTGTCAACCTGTTTCAGAGGACCATAAACTGTTACTGAGGTACTCTACTGCTTGTAAACCGCATTTCTCTGCAGCTCTTAAGTCTCCGAAATGACTTTCAAAACGATTGATTGGGTATCAATTCATCAACCGGAGGATAAATTCGTTTTGTGTATCTAGCTAACTACTATGTATGTTGAGGTACGATTCAAATAACGGGAATCTCTTTTCAGGAAAGATCGATCAAAGGAAACGAGCAAGCAAGCACACTTTGCGCGCCACTAACGCCACACACACCCCAATGAGAAAATCCACTTCACTTGAAGCACAAACGCAACGAAATGGTACGAGAAAAAAAGGCACAGACCGACGCAGGTCATAAGAAAGACGGGGAAACAGCCGTTGTTGTCATGATCGTTGACAGGGAAGGGTGAGAACGGGGTTTTGATTTAGTTGAGGAGGACGGCGCTGTGAGGGATGGTTAGGATACGAGGGTTATGAGAGGCCGAGAAGGCAGGAAACTTACTTGACAGTACCGTCGAGATCGGGGTTGTTGGTGACCTGGGCATATTTACCCCAAACGACCTGCTTGCTGTTAGATTTGGATCTCGCATGTACAGAAAAGGAGGGGTGTGGTAGCTTGCCTTTCCGGAGGTGGTGACGAGGCCCAGCTCGGAGACGTTGACTTCGAGCACGGTACCCTTGGTCAAGACACCTAGCTGAGTGTATAGAGGGTTCTGGGGGTTCTTCTTGACGGACAGAATGGGGAGTTGGACGGTGACACCGAGCTCGGGGCTGAGAAGATTGAAGATAATAGCGTTAGTATTTAGCGGAAGGTGTGCTTGCTCGATATCAAAAGGATGGATGGATGGGTTCTCGAAGGCCACCCAAGCGGTAGGAAGGGAAGGGAATGGACAAACGTACTGCGTGACATTGGCCTTCTTGTAACGCAGACCCATGGGGCGGATGAAGCGCTCGTACTTGACGGGCCGACGGGTGAAGTCATTGCCGACGAAGGTGGGCTTGGTGATCATGCGCTTCCAGGACTTCTTGTGGGTCTTCTTGCCGGTGTTGACGACCTTGAACATCTCCTCCTCGCTGATGCCCTTGACCTTGGGCAAGGGGACGGCGAACTTGGCGGCCTTCTCGTTGCGCTTGTCCTTGATGGCGCTGGACAGGGCCTTGGCGTTGGTGGCCTGCGAGCGGTCGAGCAGGTACTGGGGCAGGGGCGTCTTGGAGGGCTCCTCGGGGGCGGAGGACTTGACGTTCTTCTCCTCCTGGGCCTTGATGCGCTTGCGCATCTGGATCTTCTCCTTGTGGCGCTGCTGCTGGTACAGCTTGGCCCTCAGACCGCGCAGGTTCTGGGCATCCTTGGACTGCTGGTGGACCTCACGGGCCTGCTTCTTGCGGGCGCGCTCATCGTGATCGAGACGCTTACCGTGCTGTTTCGTCCAGCGTTCGATATACCTGTTTTCACCATGGTCAATGATTTTTTCGCCGGGTGGCTCGAGAAAGGTGCGACGAACTCGTTCTGAGGCTGTTCATTGTGGAAGAATAAATCGTTAGCAGAAAATCCCTCAGGACAAAATCGAATCAGCAGCAACATACCATGTTGAGAAAGCGGCAAAGGCCAACGACAAAATCAACAAAAAGGGAGGAGGTCTGATAGCAAGCAAGCAAGCCAGCAAGCAAAAAGGGAAGGATTGGATACAAAAAAGTTCGGAGAGGGAGGGGCTTGGCGGGCCGACCGATAATAAGTCACGTGGCCCAACTTTATCGTCCCGTCCGGAATTTCTCTCTCCTGTGGAAAGAAAGCGCTTCTGGTTTGCTGGATCGGTTGGTTGTCCCCATTGACCAACAAGCAGGGAACAATCGCTATTGCTTGCCTTCAAGTGAGCCTCGTCAGATACACACGACCATCAAAAATGTTCTCCCGCACTGCCCTCGCCAGGGCCTTCGCCCTCCCGACAATAGAGCAACCATGCGCCGCCGCCGCACGCTTCTCCGTCGCCCGGGCCTGTCTTCACAGCAGCGCCGCATCACCAGCACCAGCACCAACAACAACACAAACACAAACACAAACACACCCCGAATCCCCCCTCTCCGCGACCCCACGAGTCCAAACCTCCACGCCCGCGCCCACCCCCCAAGAACCCCCCTCCTCCACCTCCACCATCGACTTCAAAAAACCCGTGGCCCCAACCTTCACCGCGCCGCTGCAACTCACGCCGACGCTCCTCGCCCAGCTCCCGCAACTCACCACCCAGCAGCCGCACTACATCATCTCGCACCTGCACGACCGGCCCTACCTGCTGACGCAGGGCGACTCGATCCGCCTGCCCTTCCTGATGCCCAAGGTGAAGCCGGGCGACATTCTGCGCTTCAACCGGGCGTCCGTGCTGGGGTCGCGCGATTTCTCGCTCAAGGGCGCGCCCTACGTCGATGAGCGGCTGTACGAGTGCCGCGTGCGCGTCGTGGGCGTCGACTCCGAGCCCCTCCGCGTCAAGGAGAAGACGAAGCGCCGCCGCCGGCACGTGCAGATGGTCCGGAGCAAGCACAAGTACACCCTGCTGCGGGTTATGGATGTCAAGATTAAGACCGCGGAGGAGTTGTTGCGCGAGGGGGCGGTCGTTGCTTAGGAGGATTTCCCCACGGTGTGATGGGGTACTCGAAAATTGTTACTTGCGGGTTCGGGATTTTTCTTTGGGTTGGATGCAGTGACTGTTCACATGGGGCTGTTGTTGGATGGGAGAGGGAGACTGCCAGAGTGAGAAAGGCGAAGACTGGGCAAGAGGTGCATGTTTAGGATGGTTGGAACCTGCAATTGCGAAGGATTATGTACAGATAGAAAGTGGGTGTCTGTTTCCATGCACCAAGTGGTGCACTTGTATTGTATCTCATAATTGGGTTTTTCGAATGTTCAACGTGCTTTTCTTCTTTATGTCTGAGGACGGGGTAGATTTGAGACTCTCACTCAGCAGACAACGCAGATATTCTTCTGGTGTCGACAATACCCAACCAATGAAAGCAATGATACGGATTGATGTCTCCTCGAAGCTCGGAGTGATTAGCCATGAGTCAAGCATTGACTACGGTACCCTCCGCAGCATGATCAACAGATGGGCTACGCTTAGAGACTGGTGTCAAGGAATGGTCCAGAAGATCTTTTAAGAATGTTTTATATACAAAGCCCCAAAGTCGGCACACGAGGGCAGTCCACCGCACCACAGCTATGAGCTGGAATTAATGCTTGCTTGCAGTATCTCATCTGCAATCTTCTCAGCCAGGGCGTAGACAGTTGCCTGCGGATGACCCGGTGGCAGGAAGGGAAAGCTGCTGATATCAACAACCCGCAGGCGTTGCACTCCAAAGACTCGGGCCGCATTGTCGATGACTGCCATCTTATCGTCCTTTTGACCCATCTTGCACGTGCATGAGGCATGGTTGATCGCCGACGCATCTTGTCTGAGGAACTCGCGCACCCGATAATCCGTCTCCACTTCGGACCCTGGCACGCACGTTTCCAGGTCGATAACCCCAACCTCAGCGAGATGGGTCCAAACCTCACGACTGCGCCTGAACGCTTGAATTGAAGTATTCATGTCTCTTGGGTCAGCAAGCCACTGCGGATCAATGATAGGCGGCGTGGACATGTCAGGACTGGCTAACGAGACCATTCCGCGAGAGAACGTAGCCTGAACTATTGATCCCATGGCAATGGTATAGTTTCCCTCAGAAGCATCGGTGCCTCGGCTGACGCCACTAAGTGCCCATTCAAGCTCGGGCCAGTCCTCGGGAAAGTCTGCAAGGCTCTTGAGATTCTCCCCAGATAGCTGGGAACGATATTGCTGCGGCAGCTTCTCGAAGCCAAAGTACCCGGGCCCTACGATTGTCAACGGCCCTCTGGCGTTCTCAATATATTGTCGGACATGCAGTTGATCTGATGCCTCTTCGGTCACCAAAACAGGCACCATCTGCTCGTTCACACGGCACGTTGTAATCACGACAGGGTGATCTTGCATGTTCTTACCGACGCCTGGGAGGTGGCTGACACAGGGGATACCATATCTAGAAAGTTGTTCGCATTCACCAACACCAGAGACCATGAGCAGTTGCGGAGACTGTATGGGTCCCGCTGATACTATCACCTCTTCGCGAGCCCTGACGTTGAAATTGAGGTTTGAGGTCCCAAACGTGCCGGCTGTTGAGACGAGGACCTCGGAAGCGGTCTTGTCTCCGCCGTTGAACAGTATCTTCTGGGCGAGCGTGTTCTTGTAGATTGTCAGCCCGTTCCCACTGTCGAGTGCCTCTTGCAGAAAGCTGGACTCGGATGAGGAACGATGGGCATTCTTCGGGTTGATAGTTCGGCTCATGAACCCAGAGCCTAGCAGGCCGCCACTGTTGAATTCCGTCTCTTTGAACCCAAGCCCATCGGTCAGAACTTTGCGTACAGTGTTAGCCAACGGGTCGATCCAATTTCCCGACGAGACTTCAAGAGGACCGCCGTTATTAAAGGCGTCCTCATTATGCAGAATGTCATATTCACCCCAGATGGTCGGGTCCGGCGGAGTAAAGCGCACAGACTTCCTGTACCACGGCAGCATGTTCTCTAAGGTATAGCTCTCGTCACCCACTTCTTCTGCCCACTTTTGCATGCTGCCCTTGGTGGGGCGGTTATAGTTCATACTGTTCTGAGCGGAACTGCCTCCTAGGAGCTTGCCGTGCGCACAGTGGAAGACACGGCCACCCAGGACTTGCTGTGGCTGCGTCTTGAAGCGCCAGTCGTTCAATGGATGATACGCCTCGGGGGCGTCCCCGCAAAAGAGCCCTCGGGCGTACGCAGGGACGACGGACCAGTTGCCATTATCGATCTCGGAGAATCCACCCGCTTCGACGACCGCTACGCTGAATCGTTCACTCTGGGCAAGGCGACTCGCGATGGTCAAGCCAGCAGTTCCACCTCCAATAACGATATAGTCAAAGGTTGCGTTCACACCGGGCGTGCCGAAGGAAGTTCCTAGAAGAGGACCTCGTCGTCCATAGTGGAAAAGATTGAGGTCCTGTTCTTCCTCGGCGAAGACTGCAGCTGCGAGACCGAATAGAAGCCAGGAGGAGGTATGCATGGCGGACTTGTTCGGATCCAACGGTAGTTGTTCAGAGGACTAGTGATGGAGGATCTTAGTAATAACGATGCTTGGAGGACATTCGAGGAAATGGGTGTCGGATAACGATGCGATCAGTGAATTATATGCAAGAGAAGAGGGTATGAAGAAGAAGAAGCACTGAGCCAGAAGAGGTGGAAGAGGATTTGTTGGCAAGAGGGGAGGGAGTTGCAGTAACACGACATGTTTACTCAAAAGGGAAAGAGGCAAGGTCTATACGCCTTGGCTAATGACACAAGTATGAATGATTACTAGACTATTAACATGTATGTACTAGACTGTACTGTACTGTACCTTCACAAACCACATCTCACTCCGCAATCTCTTCTAGTCCCAGTTGCACCCGACACTGATCCAGACTGTCACTCTGCATCCGCGCATACAAGCTGAATTCATCCGTCTTTGGGACTCCCAGCATCCGGTGAAACCCATCCAGATCCGGCTCGGCCTCCATAATCAACCGTTTCGACTGGGTCGTGTTCCCCAGGTTGGAGTTGAAGATGCCCCCCGCAGAGAGCGGCAGGAAGTCCTCATACGTGATGGGCTCATACTCCAGTACTCCTTCTCGCAGAAGCTGGGATACGCTCGCGGTTCTCAACCCGCTCAAGCCCTTACTCCCCTTCGGAGTGACATGATAGTAGAAAAACGCCAACTTCTGCGCCCACAATTCACCCAACTCGTCCGGAAACCCTTGAAAATGTCTTTCAAGAATGCTTTCGTATTGCGCATCTCCGGTCCCGATTCCCATCTCTGCAACCTCAGCATTCACTGCCGCCAGAATCTCATCATACAGTTTTCTCCCCTTGCGCGTGAGCGCAAATCCCCGCTGCTCGACTTCCCCAAATCGCGCGGTATGCGAGCCCTTCACATAATCTCCATGTCCGGTCCGGAAGAAGACTGTCTCCTCGCGGGCCTTGAAGCTCGTCTGTCGTAGCAGGATTGGAAATTTTCGTCTTGGGGGCCCCTCGATGCGCTCCTTGGCCGGCATACCCGCCTCCCACATTCTGGACTGCACGGCATCAATATCGAGCGTCCGCGGCGTTAGGTGGTTGATGTGGCAACTGGGAAAGGAGACAATATCCGCAATGAGGGGATGTTCGGCTTTGAGGGTCTGGTACTCGTCCAGTGTGACGGTGGCGTGGGAGTGCCAACGGAAGGTTTTGAGGGCTTCGGTTATGAGCTCTTGACCGGCTTCAGGGGTGAATGGGGTTGGTTTTTGTCGGCCCTCGGCGATCTCAATGAGGGTCTGGAGTCGGTCTGTGAAGATGGAGCGTTGGGAGAGGGCGCGTTCGGCAAGGAGACGTGTGCGCGGGGTGAGGAGATCCATGCGGAGGACGGTGGTGAAGACGCGGAAAGGGTGTCTGGATAGGGCTTCTGGGCTGGTAGGTCGGAAGGCCGTGGCGTGCATGGGGAAGCCGGCGAGCGTGAGATTGTAGTAGCCGACTGGATGCATGCCCATGATGGCAAACAGGCGGCGGATGGTGGTGAGTTCTTGAGCAGTGCCCAGTCGGATGGCGCCATGGCGTTCGACGCGGTGGCGTGCGGGGAGGATCTCGTCCACGTCGGTGAGATCATTACTTGAGCGCTTGGCCTGTGCGATGATGGTCTCTGTATCGGCTTGGTAGACGAGGTCGACGAGATCGCCGTAGAGAGGAACCTCATCTTTGTACATCTCAGAGAGCGCGTGGCAGAAGCTGGCCCGAAGGGAATCCTGGCTCCATTCTTGAGTTGATGCTGCCATGGTTGAGGTGAGTCGGATCGCGCTGATTCTTAGAGAGGAAGCAAGTGTAAAGGAAGCCTGTAGATAATGGGGCAAAGGCTGAGTAAATAATCGTCGTCGGTACATGAATGATAAACACAGGCAAGCGCTGGTTGGTCGAGCTTCTATACTAGGTTAGATAAGATAAGAACCGATCAGTCAGGATGAGCAAGCTGCCAGGTGGACAAGACGACTTACCATGCAGCTCACATTTAATATACCCATGCCTCGTGGAACTTCAACATGACGTTCATACCAGACCGACCAAGTCCATCACCATCACGTACACTTCATCCGCATGACCATGCACTGTTGCAAGTCATCACCCCGATGCTCTCATACATTGCCGTGTATAGCCGTCTTGTGCCTGAAAAGCATGTCTCGGGTACTTCATCCGTCGGAATCCGATTGCCAGCCCAGTCGAGTGACTGACAGACTGATCCATCGGATGGAGACTTCGGAGTCTTCTCCGGAATTAGCGGGGTGCCGTGGAGGGACCGTGGAAAGCTGTGGGACGAAGACAGAACCGGAAGAATGATATGTACTCAAGCCAATCGGAGTGCGGGAGCTAGAGATCTTTCCGTCGGCTTGTTCAAGGAGGTTCAAAGATATCGATTGCATTGTATCGAGTATGAGTCCTGAAGGTGATGGAGGCGATGAAGTCGGTATTTCGCAGCTGAGAGTCAGAAGGCGGAGAGACGCAACTACCTCGGTTGCATGATAGACAATCTCTGTGTAGCCCACAGGTTATAGTCATGCGGCCAAACAAGATCGGTCTGGCCCTTGCAGCCTTTTTGTAAAAAGTACTATGACAAGTGAGGATTGGAGGTGTATGTGATGACTCTGTTGGCAAGGCATTGGACCAAAATTGTGAAAGCATTGTATCTCAGTGAATTGGGGCAGCCTTCGCGAAGAAATGGGCTGCATACACCGAGAAAGAACCGATGGGGTCACCTTATGACAACCACACCATCTACAGTTTGCTGGAGACAGAGCTACTCTGATGCTCGGTATCGGTATTTGTGTATGCACATGGATGAGGAGTTACATTGAGTGGTCTTGTGTCATTGCGCTGCCACAGTTGTACCATATATACGTACATTAACCGGGCGTGGTTTATCCCTCGTGGCCCGTGGTTCAATCCTCCGTCTTGCGAGGCGGAGGCGGGCTCTTCTTGACCAAAATAAAGTCCTGTTCCAGAAGCCAGAACCCTGTTGACTCCCTGCCGTCAATTGTCTTGGTGATAGGTGTCACGTTGTGTTCCTGAGCCAAATCGAGGTCCTCACACCACTTGTAGTCCACAATCAAACTTTTCTTCACCCCGAACACGGTGTCACTCTCCACAAAATTGCTGTCTCGAGAGTACAGGGCAGTGATCAGCTTGGTGTACGCGGGGTGTTCGATCATAAAATGCTATTTGGTGTTAGCATCTATGCACAGACTCCGAGGTTGAATGGTCTAACCATGTGAGCGGGGCGGAACCAATGCCGCTTGAGCTTGCGCAAGAGCTCGCCAACGGGGCCGTCGTTGGAAATTGGATAGGCTACGGGTTTGACACAAACAAAAAGGAAGTGACCCTTTTCGTCCGAGAGGATTTTCCCCCGGCAGTTGGGATCGGCGTTTCCATCATACTCCAAGTCGTACACTCCGTTGCCGTCCGTCTCCCAGACGTCGATTAATGCCTTCGGTACATTATTGCCATCTGTATCTTTGATCCAACCACGTACGATCGTGGGCTCGCCGGGGGTACCCTCTGTAAAAATCGATTCTCCGTATTGGAATGAATGCGCTTCTTCGTCATGGAATGGACCCAGCACAGAAGACTCGGTAGCTCCGGGCACAGCAGGATAAGAGAGGGCGTCAACTAGCGCGGAGATCCCCAAGATATCGGAGAGAAGCACGAACTCGTGACGGACATCGGTCGAGATTTGTCCGACCTACAGAAGGCGCTGTTAGGCTATAATGTGACTCGGCAGAGGACTGTCACCCACTTTGGTCAAAAACTGCCATGCTTGCTCCCATTCATCAAATTGCAGTCCAACGTCTCGTACGTAATCATGGGCCGCTTGAATCAACTTCAGAATGAGATATCGGAGTCGCGGGTTGTCGCACATGGAATTGATCTTCATCACATTTTCCGTGATATTCTCTATTGTCAGGTCGAGCATTGGAGGTAGATTAGCCGCGATTTCCGCTGGCGTTGACGCGGCCGCCCATTTGGTCCGAGTTCGGTCGCTCAGTCCCTCGACCGGCGGAGCTCCGTTCAGATCTTGCTTAGACATTGTGAGACTCAGATGCGGTAGGTATAGAAATGATCGGTGATGGTTCTCGAACTGGACAGTCGCCGAGGCGTGGACATCTTTCTCTTATACTTCGTCTGCCTCGCAACTCGCCTCGGTTAGCAACATTTTGATCTCGAAAGGCTCAAAACACACAATCTCCCCGCATCAGCCTAATGCGGGGCATAAACCACTTGAGACTTAGAACATCACTCCAGGTGTTTGCGCCGGTAACTGTATCATGGGTGTATGCCGCTCAACGAGATCCGTCGGAGCGGAAGGATAATGCGGAGGTGGTTCCGACGGAGGAAGCCGTGGCGGAGGAGCAAGACTTCCCTTCCAGCAACCAATTTAGCATTGAGCGACTGGCATCGGTCTGCTCAGGGAGTTCAAAGCATGATCGAAGATGCTGGAGCTTGGTGATGTAAAACACCTCTCCGTAGAGATCAGGGATTGCACGCGAGTTCCATATGCCGGTATTCCGTCAAGTTACTCCGTACTCTACATTTCTTTCCATTACCGAAGCTCAAGCAACCTGGCCCAGGTCCTGCATCAACCGTCAATAGTTCTGGGTTTGTTGGCGAGTCGTCATTCTGCAGCATGAATAGAAGTTCCCTTCCGCTGTCAATATCGGGTGGCCGAGACGGAGCATACCATGACGTATAGTACGAATGGCTTATTCGTCCGAACAATGAGCATCATGATTTTCATTTTGAACTTCTTTCGACTGCATAATTGCGGATCACGATGCAGATCTGGAGCATGGAATCACATATCTGCCAATCCTCGCATATGTCATCATGCTCGTAAGAGTGACTTCTATCACCAACCAATCGTAACGGACGATTTGTCGATGACTAGCGACGAAGCTCAAACCATGGCAGCAAATTGGGTGGTTTTAGGAACAATGCGGGACCCATTTTTCGTAGCCTGCCAGCACAGAGTACTCAGTAACAATTTCTGAAGCCTCTGCGAGTTGTGAGAAGCACAAAAGGGGTCAACCCCAGACCCCGCGTAAACCCCGGATTCCCAATCTTTGACGGACGTGCTCGCCGTAAGTAAGCTTGGCCGGCATTATCGGGCATTTGGCAATCTGCGACCGGTGGATCAGAATGTCGAGAGCCAATCTTATCTAGCGCATCTCTAGTGTGGAGCACATGTCGTCGGAGTCAGCTGAAGAATCCAATAACTACGGAGTACCTTACCTAGGTAGCATCGTCAACAGGAACCCAAAGAGATCAACAACATTGACTGGAACTGCAGTTCAACTGGTCAGGGATGGAAGGCGGAGGGGAAACTGCCTCGCCGGTGACGGCCAAATTGCGCGCTTCTCGCCGACGCCCGCCGCGCGCTTCCCGTGCCTGCGAGACTTGTCGAGTCCGCAAAACCAAAGTAAGAAACTCCTGTTTGTTCGTCCGTTCGTCACATCTCCCACTGACTCTCGATAAACATAGTGTGATCAAGCTCAGCCTTGTTCTTATTGTGCCTGTATGAGACACTGCAGAACCGACCCCTCTGTATGTGAGCGACACGGTTAATCATTTGACTCTCAGATCATTCGCTCGACTGTTTGTATAGAGCTGCAGGTCCCAGCGAGAACTCGTCTATAGTAAAACGCCAAGCGCAGATTCGCGAGGCTCAGAGGTACCTCCATACTCCTTGTTCTCAGCTTTCTTGCTATCTTCGGGTTCTGACCTTAGACCAAGACAGAAAACCAGACCATCACCATGGCCAGATGTCGATCAGAGCCGCTATGACAGCTTCCAGCACGTCAATCCCCCAGACCATTCCAGCAGAGGAATACCCCGCATCGCTCGAAGTGATGGCAGCGTCAATGCTAGTTCGCCCGACCATCTCACTCCCAAGCGCGATGATGACACTATGCCCGGTAAGTAGACTATGCTCTAGTCATTCATCTTCCTTGGATTGTTTGCTCAAGAATGCTTTGCAGCCGCCACGCCTGAGCTAGTCTGCGACTCAGCCTCAAGAGACGGGTTGAGCGGTGTCAACATTCACACAAATGGCACAGAATTCTACGGCAATTCCTCTAATCTGGCCTTCCTTGGCAACTTGTATGCACGAGCCCGTACCCAGGCAGGCATTAGAGGGTCAACCGTCCCTGGTAATGAGCATATTCATGCTCCGATTGAGGGCCATACCGCGGCTTCCGACACGGTGCAAACCAGCAAAGATGGATTGAACCAGTTGACACCCAGCCCGACGGCAGACACGCAGTCGGAGGGTGCGCGTCCTACAACCAACACAACGCAGCTTTCTATCGTGAATCTGCTTTACAATCCAAAATATCCGAGTCAATCTCCCCTACAAAGTGATGGGCAAAGTGTAATTGACAGCGGTGGAACCGCGAAGAATGTGGTGAGCTCGCAGAACACAGCTAAGGGATATACAGGTGAGCACAAACCAACACTTAAGTCTTGAAGTCCCCAGTATTTAAGTGGAAATTTCAGATATAAGCCACGAGCATGATGTCATACCAATGATCGAGAGCCTATCAGAAGAGGCACAGATTGAAATCGAGAAAATGTTCATTGGAAGTTACTTTTGCAACAAGCATTATATACACCCTATGCTGTGCAAAGGCAAATTCATGCAACGTTGCGAGAAAGAGGCCTTCGTGATAAGCAGGAGAACCAGCTTGCATCGTGGATCCTCAAAGTTCGCTGGGTTATACTTCGCTGTGGTCGCGTTGGGTGCGATCAACGCCAGTCCACATGAGACGGCCCTGCTAGACCATTATTGCAACTACAGCCCCATTTCAGGGAGAGCCGGGACCACAAGCAGACCATCTGTGTTGGACTTTGCTGATTTCTATTTTGGCCGAGCCAAGCGGGCTCTGGGAGATCTATTCGAAAGCTGCAGCTTGGAGGGAGTGCAGGCGCTTCTACTCCTGGTAAGCTTTTCTCACTTTGATGGAAGAGAGACTCCATGCTGACCCATTTCTTCAGAGTGTGTTCTGTCAGAACGCTCTTCGACCGCATAGTTGTTTCATGTATAGTGGAATGGCGGTCCGAACCGCTGTAGCCATTGGACTGGCATCAGGGATGACGTCCTTGTCCCCAGGTGTTCGCAAAGAAGGAATTCGGACTTGGTGGTAGGTAAATCGTCGTGTTCTCATAGTACTTGACTGACAAGATCAGGTGTATTTATTCGCATGAGATGTAGGTCAGAATACCACACTCAAGCTCTCAGGATTACTAAGAAAAGGCAGTGAGATGTGTTGCTCTTCTGGTCGCTTAGACAGCATGAAAGACCTGCAGTACTACCAAGTTCCCTTACCTATTTTGAAGGTGAAGTACTAGTGACAACCCATTGAAGAAATGTATTGACCGTGCCTACATAGGTCACTCCCGGCAACCTACTTGATGCCGATGCCGAAGACAATCATGTGGCAATGATTCCAGCAATGGCGGCGCTAGCACAAATCATGTCCGAGGCATCACACCTTCTCTACCACTCTCCCAAGCGCTCAGTGGGCGAGATGTCGCATATTGCCATAGATCTAGACAACAAACTGCTGGGATGGAAGTCTACTTTACCTGAATTCTTAAATATCGACGCCGCCTCGCTCAATGATACAGAGTGGGCCTTCAAACAGAAACTCGTGCTAAGACTAAGTACGCCAGACAATCCTAAACAGACTTCATCCTACCTTCTCAGAAGCTGATGTACCCAGGATATTACAATACCCGAATCCTGATCCACAAGCCTTTCCTCGCCGCATCAGCCTCCAACACCGAAGCCCCAAATATCCTCCAGCACCTGCACGCCTGTCTCGATGCCGCGAGAACCAGCATCCACATGCAGTACGAATCATTCATACACCGGATCTACATTCGTACCTGGTCAGTTCCCCTGGTGCCGCGCCATCATCCCACACCCTCTATCCACTGACCAACCCCTCCTGCAAAAAGGTGGTACAACACCTCCTACGCCCTCTACGGTGCCATGATTCTCCTCCACCTCATTCTCTCGGGATACCCCAGCATCCGCGACGAAGACCTGCTACTCGACGTAGAGAAGAGTCTCGACATCTTTGAATCGATGAACAACATCGTCGTCGCCCGCCGTTGCGCCGAGATGATCCGCGAGGTCCTTGAAGTCGCACGAGCCTGCGTAGCTCGACGTCGCACCCCCCACTACACCTTGTCCACTTCAACCGTGCCACCACCGCCGCCACTGCCAATAACCGGCCCAGCGAACCCGTCTGCTTCCTCACCTGCACCATTCGGCCTAGGCAACCCGCACACCCAGCAACAGCAAGCTGCCACAAACCCCGCGACCAGCACAGCACCCGGCGTCGACAACGATTTCTTTTTTTCGCTGTTCAATCCCGACTCGCAGCCCAACGATACCCGCGCCGAGATCCTGGCGAATCTGGTGGATCCCATCATCCTCGAGGACTTTGCGTTTGGGAACGGGGCCAGTGATTTTTCGTTCTTTCTTGGAACCTGAAGCGGAATCTGGAGTTCTGATTAAGATGTTCTTAGTGAGCAGCGGGAGGCGGGGATGCGTGTCTTGAGACCTTAAGACCTTGAGTTACTATTGACAAGTCCCCTGTATCTATTACTCGATTATAGACATCGCCGCAAGCTGCGTAGCTAGCACCACAGTCCCGAGCTCTAGATCGGAAGCCCGCATACCTACCCACAGCGCCCAGTCCCAGTAGCTTCGACGAGAACCCAGAATCCTGCCTTCAGTAGACCTAATACAAACAAACCAAACCTCGGAACGTAGCCTATAGGCAAGCCCCAGTGCCTGCCTAAGGTATCCACAAGGCATCATCGAGCCGGGGTTCGCCCCCACCCCCACCACCAATCCAGCCCGAAGTCCGCACCTGCAGCAAAAGAAATGTCCCAAATCAGGTACAGTGCAAACCACCTAGGACAGACACCGCTTTGGTCTTCCCTTCGGTAGCCCCAGTTCATTCATCCCAAACACGGTAGTAGGTTAACTGAGCCGTGACTATGAGGTGTGAACCGGCGGCTCATTGGACGCCGGCCCTGGTGTGCAAGAGGGAGGGAGGGGGAGGGGCGCGCTGGGTGTAAAGGGAAATAGGGTAAATGGTACAGTACAGATCAGACTTCATAACATAACATAATATGAATGGTACCTACCGTCACGGGTCGAGTTTCCTCCCTAGGGAACTGTATTTCGGTACACAAAGGCTAACTGGACCCCTAGCGTGGCTTTAAATCGCCCAGACCACATCATCGGGGTATGCCTGTATGGCGAGCGGGTGCTATCAATCGGCTGGTGATCATGGCATGGAGAGAGAGGAATGTATGCGGATGCGCTGCAGAGACGGGAAAGGAAGGGATTTCTCCGGGCCTAATTCACGGGTCACCGAAGAGGAAAGCACCAAGACGCCGAGCCAGTCGGTGACCGGCGAGAGGATGATGACTATGATAGCCTCGACATGATCTATTTCTAAAAAAGCCTTTTGTACAATGTATCAGCTTTAAATCATGTGTTTGATCAATTCACACTTTCTATCTGATTGCCATCCAGTCTATGTTCATCCCATATCCTTCATGTAGGGGGGAAATAATGAAACCATATGTACAAATATAATGCGAGTGGGATGCTGGAAAGTCATCCACCCGTCCATCTAGGGAATTAGTTCGTAAACCAGCAGCATAGCCGTCATCAAGACACAAAGTGGAAAAAGCAAGAGGTATCATAGAAACGAGACCCCCCTCCTAGCAAGAAGACAAAACGCCAGAACCAAAAGAGACATGCAAATTCATCAGGGCATCACATAAAGGTTGGGGAAAGCAGACACAGAAAACACTGCTAGTAAAGCCCGGGGTATCGCGAATCTCCTTTTAGGGGGGACATCAAAAAGAGAAAGGTGGGAGAAGAAGAAGGGTAATAGATGACTAGAGAGGTGGGATAGAGGAGTCTTGCAGGCTCTCATCACTGATAGAGGTTGCTGGAGATGCCAATCCCGAGATGACTGAGGAGGTGCCACCCAGACCACTGTCCGGAGCCTCCAAGATTGAGTCCTCCATGGCGCCCATGCGCGGGGGATTGATCGTCGTGGGCTTGGCAGCGCTGGTCATCAGTTCATCGATGCCAGGTTTTTCAGGAACGTAATGATCCAGATTGTTCGCGTTGTCCAGACTCTCCAAGGCAAACTCCAAAAACTCAGCATCCTTCTTGCTGACGCTCAGCGTCCAGCGGTATTCGCAGAGTCGCAGCCGATAGAATTCGGCTTCTTCCTTGGTTGGGGCGGAGATGCGAAGGAGGACCCCGAAGGAGCCGATCAGAGCAAAATTGGTCCGTGCCGTAGCCGGCCAGAAGGACCGCAAGTGGGAGGGCCGGAGTCGGTTGACAAAGTCCATTGCGGAGATCAGTCGCGTCTTGGCGGCGGAGCGACAGATGTGGGACAAGTAGGCGTCGGCGTTCTCCGGCGCCAGCGACCGCACAATGCAGCGGTGTAGGGTGATCTCCGTTGCGAAGTAGGCTAAGTGTAAGGCACCGTTGCGAGCGTTGTCCTCAGTGACGACCTCGAACAGATCGCTGCCCGAGTCCATCTTTAACTCCGACGGAAGGCGGCCAAACCATTCTTTTAACCGAATCTGGGCCGGCTTGGCACGTTCGAGAATCATCCGAGTCCGATTGTTTCCCGCTGCCTTGAATTCCTCAATCGCCTGTAAAGTGTAAAAACGATCCAAGATGTCGGAGAGAATGGTGGTCAGAGCCACCATGTGACAGAAGGATAGCGGGCCGTGGCCGACGGGCGCATCGTCGTGTTGTGCTGAGGCAGCGAAAGCGTCGGTGAAATCCTGCTCCACCAGGTCCTGAACCATCCAATTGGAGGCGAAGATGTGAGACGGCCGTCCATGCACAAGCGCGGACCACTTATCCTGCATGTATAGGGCCCATGCCAAGCGTTTTCGGAGCCCTTTCTCCCATGTGTCCATCCGCCAATTAGAGCAGTCCTGGTGCAAGCCAAGCTCAAAGCCGGCTGTGACCAGCTGCGCAGTCAACGCGGCTGTGGCTAGGTTTGACCTCTGCATAAGAAGCAGTCCCGCCTGGATAGTAGAGATGGAGGCGTAGGGAAGCGACTCCACCAAAAGCCGAAGGGCCGTGCTCTCCAAGCGGCCGGCATCGGGACGCCGGATGGTCTGAGACGCAGGGCCAACATCGACGAACTTCAAAGCGAGGACATAGACAGCAGAGAGAAGCAGTGGTGACAGGCCACTCCGGGCCCGATAGGACTGTCGGAAACTGTCTTCAAGGAGAACGGGGAAGGTGGGATGGACATGTTCGAAAAACTTCTCCACTAATGTGGAGCCATAGGGAGCGACCAGGCCCTCGATGGCGTCCAAGGAAGCAGTGTGCGGTGAGTCCGCGGGCGATCGAGTGCTGACCACCCGCATGAAGGTGCCGTCGTCACTGAACTTCCGCACACGGGAGGCAGCCACAAACCCTTCTTGGTTCTGATCCAAGGGCAAGAAGTCCAGGAGGGCGGGCTCTAAGTCGGTGGTGAGGCCAATATGTTGGATGGAATGTTGCCAGAACGAGGAGGAGGAAGTGGGCAACTGATGATCAGGTTGGTGGTGAGGGAGGGTGTGATTCAAGGGTGGGCGGACAGGGTCGGATTTGGCCAGCACCGGGGGGAGGGTAGATAACCTGGCGGCGGGGATGTTGATTAGCTGAAAGTCCTACTATATCTCGAGTCCAAGTCCGAGATCGGCCGTGCCCGGTGAAATCATACCTCTTAGGCGATCCCAGCTCCTCGGATTCGGTCTCGTCCAGTTTCCGCTTCTTCGCCTGCAAGTCGGCCGTGCCGGGGCGACTGGCCACCGCCAGTGTGAAGGTACAGTCCTGCCGGTGAAAGTCGCACGAATAACACTTGTTCACCATTTCGTTCATAGCACACCGGCTCTTTCTGCGCACGCATGCGTCACAACTCGACCCATCCCGACCTGGCGCGGTGACACGAGGGAGCGTTCCCACGGAAGATACAGGCGAGTGTGGCGTAGATAGAGAACCGGGCTGGGGGGCAGGTGTTTGTTGGACTTGGGAGGACTGCGGGATCCGGGGACGAAGTAGTTGGTGGTCAGAGGAAGGGGATTGTTGGAAAGACGCTGCTGAAGGGCCTGTTGGGCCAGTCGTCGAGGACGACTGCAGGGTGATAACAGCAGCCATTCAGGAAGGCAGGAATGGGCAGGTCGAGCGCCAGGTAGGTGATAGGGCGATAGGCCAGCCCACGGAGATAGGTCCGGGGGAATACGGGGAGAGACAAGACAGGGGAGGAGTGGGAGGTGAGAGATAGGCGATAGATCGAGTGCCAATCTCACGAATGGCTGATCGCAGATAGGCAGTAATAATGAGAATACAAATGATAATAATACTGCACGATAGCGACTCGGGGTCACGTAAATAGCACCGGGGCGACCCGGAACGTCCGCCGTCACAGGGCTCCGCAATCCCAGGGACGGAAGATCAATCTAGAGGGATGGCTGACTCGTAGTCAGGCCGGAGTCCCTGTCTGATATCTGATCCCCTGTTAGGGGATTATCTGGGGGGAATACTGCTGGCGCCGTGGTGGTTGGTAGTGAGGATTCGCCAGGAGGGAATCGGTATTCCTTTCCTGCAGAGCGGCGGGCGATAGTCCAACGCACCGACCAATAGCTGCCGGGGCTTGACGGGGGGGCCAAGTACGAACCGCAGCGGAGAAGCTTATCAGGGAAAATAACCGGACAACCAAGCAACGGATTGTAGGAGGGGGCAACTGATGAAGCTAGCGGGGGGGGGGGGTTAGAATAGAAAAGATAAAGAAGAAGAAGAAGGAAGAGGGTGAGTGGGTAGGAAAGTAAGAGAGAGGTTGAAGAAGAGCGTGGGAGGGAGAGGGAGAGACTGAGAGTGAGTGAGTTACAACACTGATTGATCACTTCAGGCAAGAGCAGCCAGCGGAACCGGAGCAACGAGCAACTCAATTGGGAAGGCGCGAGGGAGCGCCGGCGGGGAGGACAGGCAGAGGAACAACAACAGTATAGGTAATCTTATTGAAACGATGGTGACGACAATGATGATGATAATCGAAATCGAAATCGATAATCAATCATAGATAATCAGGGAGGATAGACTGAGCTGAGCTGAGAATAGATAGTAGGTAGGTAGTGTATGTAGTCAATCACACTGTTCCTGTTTCGGATTCCCAGATACTTGGATAGTAGTATAGTATATAACTATAGCATCCACCAGGAATCCGGTTTCTTTCTTTTGCTCTTTTCTCCTGCAAAGCAGAAAACAGAGAGGAGAATCAATCACAGAAACGTCCCAGGGTGATGATGGGATTCTCTTGAATTTGCCGCCCTCCCCCCTCCCCCGCCCCCAAGCCATGGGGAGTCATAATAATATACTGGCCATGACAGAATGACTCTGCGCAGCAAATCGCGGTAGTCATCAGGATCAATAAGAGAATCTCCGGATGAAGCGATCGATCAGCGAGGAGGGATCCGACTCTCTCCATCGAGAGCATTTCCCACACGTAACAGTAAGTTGTTCGCCGCCAGTTCCTGCGCCCTTCGACTGCTGGAAGCGATAAGCCGGGCGGGCGTGATTGGATCTGGTGGTCTGGGGGGGGCAACCGAGGGGGACTTGGTATTACGTACTGGAATCCCTCCCTCTCCCACCCCATGGAGGAAGTTGTGGTTGACCGTTTCATGGCTTGTGGCCAAAGATTTAGATGTGATTCTTACTTAGTGTGATCAGAATAAATATCTATCAGGGCTGGGGCAGTTGCTTTGCTTCGTACTAATAACTACATGATCAGATCTGCTTCCCTCCGACACTAAGCACTTAAGCACTTACGCACGAGAGCAACGCGCTGATGAGATGATGGGATTGGGACGGAGAATGAGCCGGGGAAAGAGGAGGGGGGATTGTGACTGGTGCGCCTGTCGGGAAACCTGCATTACTCAGCAGAGCCTCCAATCACATCATCCCGATAACGCTATCGAGACACCAATCAGACAGACAGTCGAGAACCCAAAGAGGGATAGCGGCAGACCGGCAACGGGGATCGGCCCTGCAGCGGCGGCTTTTCTTTCCCCACAAGCCCTCCAGCCTTCGCCGGCCAGACGCCAAACCCGGCGACCAGACCAGTGACCAGTGATCACTGACCACTGACCAACAAATGCATGCGCTTGGAACTGCAATGACCAAAGGTACTCCGTACCTTAACTTTAAACTCCTACAGTAGGTAAAATGAAAAGTAATCATTGATCCGGAATGCATCTCTCCAGTGGATGATTGGTGGACGACCGCCTCCTTGGGCAGCTCTGCCGCCAGTCCTTAATAATGGAAATGCTGGCCGGAGGAGAGCTGTCCGAGAACTGTACAGAGTCTCCGTAGAGTCACTCACACTCCCAGTATCTAACCTAGAATAGACCACTACCACCAACTCTAACGTTGTCCCCGTAGCCAGTAGCCAATTCCCTTCCTACTTATACTTATACTTATACTTATACTTTGACACACAGACTCCGTGGCTGAGGATGGATCTAATCTCTTTTCCCCAGTAGAGCAGGGGACATCTCGCACGGTCGTTGTGTCTGATTGTGTCTGACCACCTTATCGCGTTGGTTTCTGTTGTTCTGGGGAACAAGAATCAGACAATAATTGCCCATAGTAATACGAAGTAGTCTATGCGTATACTAACCTAGAACTTAGGGTCTAGTTCACACTTTAGTTCCCCCGGAGTTGCGACACATGCCCCGGTTCCAATTCTCATTACTTAATGACCAGGAGGATGACTCAATTTCTCGTCCGAGGTCATCGGGAGTTTGGAGTTTGGGGCTGGTTGCCCAAGTTTCAGCCAACTGCCTCGTCCCGATGCCTGGTTGGACTTGATAACCAAGTACCTAGTATAATACGCTGATTATCTCATGAGCTTGAACCGACTATATCACGCCTCTTATTGGCTTGGTGTGACCTCCGGCGATTTTATTGACTTTCCGAAAGATGCGATCGCCTTGTGAGGAGATTTCCGTGGGCATACTCGAGTACATCAATCACATCTACCGTACACTATACGAGTCTCAACCTAGGAGTACTTAGTCTACAAACCTCAAACAAATCGCCCTACTATACCTACCCCCTCCCACTGCCCAACACATCACCACCATAACAAGACACAAAAAAAACAAAAAAAAAACAACAACAACAACAACAACAACAACACCAGAACTCCATGCTAGAATATCCCTTTCCCTCCCTCCCAACCTTTCCAAAGCCCCCCAAACCCAGGGGAAGCAGATCACCCAAAACCACACTTCACTCCGTGAAGTTCCGCAACTTGGTCAACTCATCCAACAGCTCCTGCAGATCCCCATCCGAGATCTTATGCTGCAGACTGGGGATGAGCGACTTCGCTTCCTCCGCATTATCGCAGCAGAGACTGCCTGTGCACCAGACAAAGCATTAGTTACTGCCCAGCTGCCCCATGCCCCGAACTTTGTCCCAACAAAGAGGACGGAAAGAAAGGGGAAAACGAACCAAGCTGCGACCGCTCAAACATCTCCAACTCCGTATGCGAGTTCAGCAACCGCTCCACCGCCTTGATGTTCTCCTCGTCCTTGAACCGCGCAAACACCTCCAGGTAGTCGAGCGTCTTGGTCAGATTTCTTGTCACATCAATTAGCCATGGCCATGTTGCGGGTACGCGTAGTTCGGTTTTCCCTCCACTGCAATCATTCCCAAACTCGACACTGCCAAAACCCCCCAGTCGCAACTCTCTACCTCCTCGAAATAACCCCCATCTCCATCCCAACTAGCCAAGACCAGCCCTAAGAAAGAAAAAGATGCAACTCACTCAGGCTCCTCATACTTCTTCCCCCCGCGCCGCTTATTCTCCAACACCTTATTGATGACCAACCGTGCCTCGGACAACGACAGCGTGTGGGTGTTCTGGTCCGCGCCCAGGCGCAGCGTCGACGCCGCCTCGAGTTCGCCCTGCGGGAGGGTGCGCTTGCGGTGCGTCGGGGCGGGGAGTTGGAAGCTCATTTTTTTTTTTGGTTGGGCTTTTGCTTTTGCTTTTGCTTTTGCCGGTGGTCTTGGGTCGTTCGTTCGTAGCCCGCGATATTCGTGACTTGTGAGTAACGCGCGCGCCGATGGAGTCGGTGGTTTGCGATGTAGGGGATTCAGTGAAGTGAAGTGAGGTACGCTTGATTATGGCCGGGCCGGGGATGTTGGGGTTGAGGTAGGTCGGCGCCGAGTTTGTTTTTCGGACGGACAAAGGTTGAGGTGAGGTGAAGGCGGTAAGTTAGCTTGCTTGCTGTGGGCGGAGAGAGCGGGGGGGGCGGTGAGGTGTGGTTTTTTTTTTTAATCCCGTTATCATTATCATTATCGGCCACCAGGTGGTGAGATAACAAGAACACAGTGACGTTACTGGGTATACTATGCTGTGTCTTGTGCTGGGATTGTTTGTGCACATTGTTTACAAGGCTAACTCTTTCATGATCTGGGCATGAAGTAAAGGAACAAGGTGTAGGGTATCATTTTAACATTGTTCTGGTGTTTTCAGGAACTTCTTTCTACACTCTCGAATCGAAATAAACGCCCTTTATACATGTAGGCTATGCAATATACCACGAGGATTATTTTCAATTGTTCAGACAGTCCGCCGGACGCAGTCTCCATGCGACAGGTTATACCTTCTTGAAGGCCACATCCTCCGGCAGGCGGAAACTGGCACAGAACATCTGCTTGTTGGGACTCACCAACCGCACGTTGTGGATGGCCAGCTCCAGCTCCTGCCGGCCACTGCCCCCGACGCGGTCCTCCGTCGTGATCTCAAACCCAATGCGCTCCGAGATGCGCTGGCAGATATCCACATGGTCGTCGTGCTCGTCCTCCGAATGGCCCGAGAAGCAATACACGTGCACCGTCGGCAGCTTCTGCTCCGTGTGCGGCGCGAACCGCGCCTCCTCGCCCGCGTACACCCCGACGAAGGCGTCCAAAAACTCGATCGCGTTGCCGGGCAGGTTCATCACGTAGTGCTGGAAGACGGTGGGGCGGTGGAACACCTCCGGCGGCGGCGCGGTGTCCTTCTGGCTGCGGCGGACCTTGGGTTCGATGGTCACGGTGAGCGGGGATTCGAGGAGCCGGCGGGCCGACGACCGGATGAAGTCGCGCCCGTCCTGGTTGTGCGGCGTCACGAACTTGTCGACCTTGTTGCGCTTGATCGCGTCCTGCATGACCTCGTACCCGTGCGGGTTGAGGTCGTTGGCCCAGACGAAGATCTTCTTCTTGCCCGCCGGCACGGCGAAGGGGCCCACGCCCGCCATCACGTCGCAGACCATCTCCCCGGGCCGGAACTTGTCCACCAGCCGCCGGTGCTCCGTCTCCAGCCGGCTGTTCCAGTACACCCGCGAGTAGTCGAACCGGAATTCGCAGTTCTGTTCGTGTTGGATGACATTCAGGTCATTCACGCCCCCGAGCAGCTCGAAGGGGAAGGTGCGGAATTGGCTGTGGGAGCCCACGTCGTCGGTCTTGCGGATCACCGTCTTCACGGTGGGGTTCTTGTCCAAGAGGATCTCGGCAATGATCTGTTTGTAGGGAAGGTATTGTTCGCGGAGGTTGAGGTGGGCTGGTTTGGGTGGAAGGGTTTAGTTAAGGGCACGAACGGTTTGGCTGGCGGTGGGAGGCAGTACGTACAGACGTGTCCGACTTGGGTGAAGCCCTGGGGGATTTCATCGCACAGCTCTTCGGGGAGAATGGATGCCATGATGTCGGCTGGGAGGAGATTAGTCCACAGAAATTGCACATCGGGGTGGGTGGAATCGTTATGTACCATAGGACCAGTAATCATAGTCAATCGTCAAATCGTAAGGGCCAACGCTCACCATGCCCTTCTCAACCAATTCGGAGACGGTAGGAGACCAGGTCGCCGTATCTAAGCCTTCTATCAGTTCGTTGCTCTACATCAAAGAGCAGATGAACTGACCGTCATGCTTGATCTCCTCCCGCAGCAACAGGCATTTGCGCACGGCATCATCCTGCTTGATATCCCGCAGCGTGGCCATTCTGGGCAGCGCCAACAAGTCGCGCTTCTTGTGCAGTGCTTGTCGCACCGTCGCAATATCCGAGGTCTTAAAGATCGTGGCAGCAGAGACCGGCACCGTTCGCTTGAAGAACGACCGGTCCAGCACGCGCATGGCGCGATTCACGGGGGGCCGAAACATGGCGGGGATGTCGCTGCGAACCGGCTTCGTCTCGGAGTCAGTTTCCTTGGACATCGGAGTCGAGGTGGATTGATGCTGCGATTTGATGCGCTTCGAAGGTCTGCTGGACATTGATCATGAAAGATAAGCTGATCGTAGGGTAATCACGTAGCCGGAGGCTTAGGTGTAACTTTTTTTCGATTCAAATCATGGAGTCGAGACTGTGGAGGCCCGCTTATCAGCACGTGATGGGGATAAGATCTGTATGGCCTCACAGTCACATGATGCCACCATGAATCGATCGTAGTGAGCTCAATAGAATACAGTTGTGTCAATAATCAATAGAAACATTCGCTTATCAGGCCATCCATAAATACAGTAGGCAAGTCAACGTCCGCACAGCAGACTAGGAAACATTATGGTCCGCGCAGGGCTATAGCGTAGCACCGAGCAAGAACGAGCACGGACGAATAGGTAAAAAAAAGTCAAAGAAAATACATCGAAACATGGTATCATATATCCCTGCAAAGGCAAGGCGTTGCCCTATCTCCGTTCCTCCAGCTTCGCCAGTCGCGCGTTCAACTGCTCAATCTGCTCATCTTTCTTCTTCAACGCCACGCGCGAGATGTCTCGTCCCCGGATAATCCCCATCATCTTCAGATCATATTTATCAAGCAGGGACATAAGCTCATCCTGTGCCTGCTTGGGAAGAGCTACACCATGACTCTCCAAGATCCGGACGGCCTGCGAAGCCAGCTGCGATGCGTCCAGCGGCGTCTCATCTCCCCCAGCCATAGCATCCCGAAACCGAGTCGGGGTCGGCGACATTGAAATCTCCATAGACGAGGGCGGCGCCGCGGTCGCCGACGAGAAGGATGGGACGCGATCGGTATGCGAGCGGGGTGTGACTTGCGCGAATGAGGCGGTCGAGGTATGACGGCCGAATTTAGACTCGTGATCATCTTCCGTGTCCGACCACTTTCTCTTGGCCGGGGATGTCAAGGACGGCGGCGGCTGGTGCGCGCGAGAAGCTGGACCCTGGTGGGCCTTAGGAGGTCCGAAGTTGGGCTGGCGGATTGGCTTCACGTCCAACAGTTTGCCTACTTCGGCCCCGACGTCGTCGTCCCACTCGAATTCATCGATGTCTTCTGACATCATGCGCGCCTTGGCGCTTCTGGAGAACATGTGGCTGAGCTGCTGCTGCTGCTGCTTCTGCTGCCCGCCGCCCGTTGCGGGGCTGTGGCGATGGAAGCGCGGCTCTGTCTGTGGGGTGAGGAGACCGTTGAATACTCGAGGTCTTCTGGTCGGAGTCTGGGTCGTTGCAGGATCTGATTCCGATCGAGAATTGGAGAGGACGGTGGCTTTCTCGCGCAGCTCGGCGTCGCTGGCCCAGAGGAAGAAGTCGCATTTCTTGTTTTCGCATGTGTAAACTGCGGAGAGGCAGAAGAGAAGGAGGGGCAGCACCCGCGATTAGTCGCTCAGTCGCTCAGTCACTCGCAACACTGGGTAGTCGAGGAAATGGAAAGGGGCATAGCATACAGTATCGACCATGGTTTGTTCCGTGATTCTTACATTGGAACTTGTTCGCAGGCTTTCGATCAGGACAATTGCAGTGCCACATCCCCTCCACAAAAAGCCCTTTGAGGCGAATAGCCTTGCGCGGCGACGGGGAAATCATGGCTGGGATGTCGACAAGAAGTGTATGAGGTGTATTGGACCAGGTGTTATATGAGATGCAGACATCTAAGTACGCAAGAGAGGATGATAACTTCTATGTATGGATGTATAACTTAACGTTAGTTAGTGGCCCCTATCAAAGATTGTCGCCATGGAAACTGAAGTCTCGGAAACTGATTCACCACGGATTGTTTCACTGATTTACTGATCCGCCGGCCCGCTTCCCACTTTATTCCAACCGCCCTCGGAGTCTGAATCCAGTGCTTTTCGATAAACTTCTTCATGCAATTATGGATCTATACTAAGATTACTATGGCTATGTGAAAACACAGTATCAAGCTAGTCTTGACCCATGTAAGAACTTCCCTGCTTACTCCACCCGATATATAACCCATGCCCGAATGCCAACAACCAGAACTATATAAACGCTGTGTATGGGTGATCTAGAGACTCTAGGGTATCTTAACAATGCACGTGCATCTAATCCGCAAGCACCTGTCGCAACATAACACCAAACGACTCAGATAGTTTGAGTATCTCCTGGATCTCCGGCTTGACGGGCTCTCCCGCCGTACGCCGGAGCTGATCCTGCTTCTTTACCCGACGTCTCCGCTCAGCCGTGATGGGATCGAGATCATCTTCGTCATCCAACTCATCGGACGCGTCAGACTCTTCGTCTGAAATGGCAAGGTCCTCAAGATCGGCCTAAAAGAACCATTGGTTAGAAAATGCACTGCTTGCCTCATCAACTGACGCAGGGGTCCTCATACCTCATCCAAACCGAAGTCACTGCTCCTGAAGGTCGTGCTACCAGGGATGATCTCATTGCCAGTTCCCTCAGCTGCCATCTTCTGTCTGGTCTTGTTGAGATGCCACCGTTTCCGATCGGCATGCCATTTGATAAGAGCGTTAATCTCATCCAATGCCTTGTCTTTGTCGATCTGGCCCACATCCCTTGCTCCTGTGAGTAGGGCATTCATGTCTAGCTTGCCACCACGTGGTCCTTTGCGCAGGAATTCAAGAATGTCTTCAATCCATGCCATGAGGGATCCAAACAGACCGTTGTCATGTAAGTGCACCTCATGCACAAACTTGTAGAAGCTGCTTTGGTGGCGCTCACAAAGATCAATGAAGGCTTGAACAGTCTGGTTGGGGTCGGCAGACACATCCTGTCGATGACACTTTTCGATCACGGCGATGGCGTCATCCGCAAAGCGTGCAAAGTCCGTGATACTGTTGTAGACATTGGCCGACTTGTAGACCCTCACGAGCGGCTCGTAGAAAATTGTGAAGAGGTCGCGGAAGAGCTGCAGAGTAACCGGCTCCTCCACGATGCTGAGCATCATAGTCTTGTCCCGCTGGCGGGTGTAGAGTTTGAGCAGCTGCTTCAGATTGGCAAACCAATGAGCGCCTTCTCGCATTTCCGCGTCAACACTCTCGACAGCCTGATTCCAGGCAACGTAGGCATTGAACACTTTACCAAACTGTTCTGGGGTCAACTCAGGAGAGATAAGCTCCGTCTTGAGAATCGCCACAATGATGTCAACATCCTCTGCGGTGGCCTCGGCGCGAATCTCATTCTTCAAGTCTTCGTCGGCGTCGGTGAATGCCTTCAACTTTTGGCAAAGGACAGGATCTTCAATCGTCGCGGCCAGCGCATCGATTGACTTCTGGAAAGCTCTGATCCCGTCGTTCAAAGTCATAGAAAATATGCGTTGGAGTAGGGACCGGGAGCCAAAAGGTTGAGCCAGGAAGAGGTCCAGTACTCCCGACATCACAGCTGCCGGGTTGGCAATGCGAATCACATTTTTCAGAAGACTGTAAGGGACAAGAGAGTGGATCCTCTTGGCCTGCGCGAACAGTTCCGGAGAATTGTCCTCGGCCAGAAAAAGATGATAGAGCGTAGCGGCAACTTCAATGCGTAGCCATTCGGCGAATTTCTGGTATTGTGGGCTCAGATCCTCCACTGTCGGCTTCTCCTTGATTTCAGCGAAGAGTTTCGTCAATCCATCTAAAACTGGATCAGTATAGTAGCACTTGAGCAGGATACAAACCCGACTTACTACTCTCGACGATATCCCGGCGGAAATTCTCCATGTACGCGTCCAACTCAGCCGCCCGCGCTCTCGCGATTTCATAAAACCGCTTCTGCTCCTCAATCCGCACAGCATCTACCTCTTTGCGCTTCTGCATATCCATTTTCTCCTCTTCATTCAGAGTAATCGGGTTGGCAGTCAAGAAGTCCTCGAGAGCTTTGGTGTCCGCCACCCGCTTGTTCTGTAACAGAGTACGGAGAAACGCTCGAAGGGAGACTCGCTGTTCTTCTCTATAGAGCACCGATTCCCGGGGCGCGTCTCCCGAGGCCCTAGGCGATCGGAGCGACCGCATGGAAGACCGTGACAGTGAACGAGTATGGTGGTTGCCGGGCGCTAGGTTGCGAGATGAGTAGCCGTCGTCTACTGCGCTCGTGTCTTGAGTGGAAACAGACGAAATTGATGAGGCTTCGTCGTCTGCAGAGCCAAATATGCTGGATGTCAATGAAGACTTGTTCTTGCGTGGCAGCGGAGGCAGTGGCTTCCCGGGAAACTCAGTGCGCAGCCGTTTGTGTAGCCTAGAGAAATCGCCGTATCGACGAGCCACGAAGGTATCTTGCTTCCCATCTCGGCGCACCCGAATAATAAATTCCTAATCAGAAATGTGTTAGTGATGTTCTTCAATTGCTCGAAGATTTCTCTGAACATACTGCATGTTGATGATATCGCACAGTCCGTCTGACCGATGTAACCCGGACCGCAGCCACATTGATGTCCCATCCGTGAATTGAGTTTCCTTCAGGCATGTTGACCAACAAACCCTTTTCGTTGGCCCCGCGATCCACGACTTCCATCTCCGAAAACTGAATGCGTTCTTCATAGCCCGATGCAGTAGGGATTCCAGAAACCATCATTAGCTCGACCAGCTTTTCGCATTTGCGCGCCAGCTTTCTGCGCTTCGTCTCTTCCAAGCGATCCTCCGACGAAGACACATGTTTCTTTGCGAACGACTCGAGAAACTACAACCTTGCGATTAGCGCTTCATATTATAGGATCGGGGCTCAATGGTGAGGAATATACGCACCACTTGAAGCTTATCTTGCCAGAATTCCTTCTCGCGAGCCTTATCCAGGAATGGGAAGTTGCGCACATGGTGCACGAAGATATATCGGAGGATGGGGAGTTCAGAATCGACTGGAGCGACTTCACCGAATTCCGACTTGAAGGGGGCGCCGAAGCGTTGCAGGGCTGTAGGGGAGTTCAACTCGGCAATTTCGCTCTGGACTTGTCGGGCGATGAGTTCGCGCTTGAGATCTGCGACCGTCAGCAATCATGTCCACAGGGTGCTGCGACAGGTACTGACAATGTTCTTGCTTCCCGGTCAAGATCCGGCTTGTGGTGGTATTAGTGGTCGTGGTGGAGGGTGAGTTGGTCGCGAGGCCGACCGACTGGGTTCCGTTAGGAAGAAGAGGGGCGGAGGAGTTCGTTGCGGCCATCGTGAGCGACAGTCCGGATTAATTCCTGTCACCAGGAAACGGTAATGGGCCGACTTTGTATCTCGAAAGATCAGGGTCACAATTATATGTAAGAATAGCTTCGAAAACTTCTAGAAGGGTTGGAAAAAACAGAGGAAAGCGTCTGCCTAATCGCCAAGGTTCCGTGGGGTGTGTGACGTCTGCTGAGGGCGGGCGCTGAGGCGGTGCGAGAGCGGAAAAGGAGCTTTCTATTGAACTTGGTCAAGCTGTGCAAAGGGAGAATGGAAAGCTATTAGACGAAGAGAAAGGATGTCTAAAATGCAGGAGATAGTGAGGGAGAGAAAGGGAGAGGGAGAGGGAGAGAGAGAAAGGATGATGGATGAGGAGATCAAGTGGTAAGACCAAGTGAGAGTGAGAGTGACGAGCGACGGGAGAGGGGAAATCGGGCGGAGGAGAAAATAAAGACCGCGGGATCAGCAATTCAGCAGCAATTGGCTTGACTGCATCAATGGTTGACGCGTGTCCCAGCTGTACTGTGTAAGTTACGGAGTAAGTCTCTTAAGACTTCAGGCTCAGCCCTGTAGCCCCGCCATTCCACCCACTGTGGGTTTTAGCATGAGACTATGAGATCATCTCGGTCTTTCTACTCCGTGCACTTCCAACCAAGATTGTCAACCAAACAATGCACTTGTTCCTCTCTCACAACATGTCTTGAACTTTTATTATGTATTGTCCAGTACCACCCCAGACATGATGATCCTTGGAACGGCCGCAGTAAGCAAACAGCCACCCACGCCTCAAGACCTATATTTAGAATTCTAGTTCTAGTTTTGATATTATCTTTGGATTCATCCCCGCAGTGTGCTGCTCACCTGTTAGCTTTGGCAACAAGAATTTGAAATACAACAAGATCCACGCCGTGGGCTTTGGATCGAGACTGAACTAACCCTCCGTAGCCACGATTTTTACGTTTCTCAGCGCTCCACTGCTAGAAGTAGAAGTAGATCTGGCTGTAATTTGGCTTTATATACATCATCCTGCCCATAAAAGATACAAACACTCGGAGGAACATTGCTTAGGGTGCAGACTGCCTCTATATTACAACCTTTTAAAGGGCACTGCCTAGATGACGCTGCTTATGAATTCCAGAGAGTTGTAAAAATGGTGGCCAGGGAGGGTAAACTGGAAACGGATTTCGCAGCATTAGCTACATCTCCATGGCCACCTAGTGTCCTATTATCCTATACAGACAACATAGGAAAAGTTTATACACAGATCCATGGATACTAGGCTTTCTTTTGCTCAGTAATAATGCTACTGTTACTGCGTAAGTGCAACTGTTGTAACGCAGGGCGCGATCCCTTAACCGCAGATGCTTCTACACGGAACACACTTCCGGTATGACAATAGTATAGAGTCAGTATAGAGTCAAGTTCACCTCACAATCAACTCACTTCAGGGGAACGCTGTGTAATTACCTTTCTCTTGCCCCCGTCGAATTTTCTTCTCTCCTACCACACCCTTGATTCTCTCTAAACCTCACTCCAACCTCACTCCAACCTCCAAAAAACCTCAGAGTCGAGCAGATCTTCACACCAAAGATCACCGAGTTGAGCACAACCAAAAAACCACAAACACCACCGAGTTGAGCACAACCAAAAAACCACTTGAAGCGAGTTGAGCACAACCAAAAAACCACTTGAAGCGAGTTGAGCGCAACCAAAAAACCACTAAAACCACCGAGTCGAGTGAATCTTCAAGCTCCTCCAAATTATCAAGCTCCTCAAAAACATCAAGCTCCTCAAAAACATCAAGCTCCTCAAGCAAAAAAATCCAAGCTCCTCACTCCAAGCTCCTCACTCCTCCCCCGCTCCTCACTCCTCCCCCGCTCCTCACTCCTCCCCCGCTCCTCAACCCTCTCTCCAAAAACCTACAAGATGAACCGCAAGGCTCTCAAAGCTTTGGTCTCCAAGCTGCAATCCCGCAGCGTGGCCTTCCTCGCCTCAGCGATGGAACCGCATCACCCACAAGCCGAAACGGCCTCTCCTCTTCCATCTCCCTCCGAAAAGAACCACAACGAGACAGCCGCCCAGGCAAGCTCCGCCTGGACCTGCGCAGCCAGCCCAAAAGAGCTGTACTGCCAGCCGAACTACGCAAAACTCATCCTGGATGCATTCTGCAGCGGCCAGCCCGTGTCCTGCATGTGCCTGCAGATCAAGAGCGACCGGCTGCGCAACCATCTCCGGGGGCCGTACCCCGCCAGCGAAGGGACACAGTTCCGGGCCGACGACATCGAATACGTCATCCACCTGCTCGAGGGCATGAGCCGGTGCGAGACCTGTCTCCGCGAGCTGCCGAGCATGGCGCAGCTGCATGGGCTCAGCAGCGAGACGATCGAGCGATACCGCCTGTTCTACCAGTCCCTGCATCGGGCGTTCTTCAGTGGGGGATGTGATGATACGCACTCGAATGAAGAGCTTTCGATCGACATGTACTGCTCGTTCGCCGTGAAGCAGATGGAGCGGATGGCGGCGAGTATTGGACGGATTGTTGAGGCGTTGAGTGCGGAGCCGCGGTTTGATCAGGATGCGTGGTATGTTGTGTTGAATCAGGCTGAGCGGCTGATGACGGCGGCCACTACGTTGCAGGGTCGGGTGGAGCAGGCTGCTCGAGTCTGAAGATGAAGGGACTTTTTTTTTTGGGGAGGTGAAACGTCACGATGGCGATGATCGGAGGAGGGACGATGGCATGTCGATGTTGACAGAACAGTTGCGACTGGAGTGGGAATGATCTTGACGAATAAACAACCTTGTGAAAATATCCTTGCGACATACGACAGGGGAATCACAAACAAAAGGCAAACCCTGATATGGAGAGGCGATCCAAAAGAGCATCACCTAGATGAGACACTTGAAGGTATTGACGATGATGTTGGGAGAACGATGTCTGAATGGAAAGCATGTGTAGCGCACTCGTGTACAGCATCGTTGCAGCAGCGGTCTGCGGAGCAAGAGACTAGTTAGACAACGCAACAAAGACTCCATTGAAACCAAAACTATCTAAGCATATTCTAATACAAGCAGACCCCATTCCACCAGATAATCCATGGCCGTAGACAAACAAGAAACGCCGGCCAGCCGGAATCCACCATTCGATTCATACAACGTGGAGTCATGCAAACGGTATATTGGATATCACCCTTGGACTGCAGCCATCGTAGGTTGTGATACCGTTGCGGGACCGTGAACCCTACTCCGTAGGTGCATTCATTCAAGCCCGGAAGGGGAAAGCGCTGCGGACCGAAGCGGAGGAGCTGGGGGAGGCAGCGGGGATCTCAGGGGAGCCGGGGAAGGGAGCAAGAGAAGTGCCAGTAGCCTGAGGGGCTGCGCTAGAAGGCTGAGCAGAGCTGCCACCGCTGGCGGACTCAGTCGAGTTCTGAACTGACTTGGAGGTGTCAACAAGGGGCTCGACGACACCGCCGCTGGAAGGCTGCACAGGAATACCGGTGGGCTTGGGAAGGCTGCTGCTGCTGATGGGCTGGGTGGTATTCGTAGAGGCGGATCCGCCGGTGGGCACGGCCTCGGGCTCCTTGTCGTCACGCTTAGAGATACCCAGGTCGGACAGGATACCGGTGACTGCAGTGGGGTTCGGGAGGCCGGAGGGCAGGATGCCAGAGGGAATCAGCGAGTCCAAGTCCTGGCGCTTCTTCAGAGGCAAGTTCGAAGGAAGAGTGATACCCAGGTCAGACAAGATGTCGGTCACTCCGGATGGGATCGCAAGACCCGATGGGAGGATGCTAGACAGGTCCTGACGCTTCTTGATGGGCAAGTCCGAGGGTAGAGTGATTCCGAGGTTGGACAAGATATCGTTCACCCCGCTAGGGATGGGCAGACCAGAGGGGAGGGTGCCAGAAGGAAGAAGAGACTCGAGTTCCTGACGCTTCTTGAGAGGAATATCGGAAGGGAGGGTAATACCCAGGTCGGACAGGATACTGGACACTGCGGATGGGATCGGAACCCCGGAGGGGAAAATCTGCGACAGGTCCTGGCGCTTCTTGAGAGGAATATCCGAAGGAAGGGTGATGCCCAGCTGGGACAGAATCTCCGTCAAACCAGAGGGAAGAGGAATGCTCGAGGGGAGAAGGTCGGTCAAGTCCTGGCGCTTCTCGACGGGCGAGCCCGAGGGAACAGTGAGCGTGGGCAGCTCGGATCCTGGACCCTGTGAAGGGATTGGAAGCCCCGAGGGAATAAGCCCAGATGGCACAAGCCCAGTTGGAATAGGAGGAAGGTCGGAGAGATCCTGTCTCTTCTTATCGACGTTCGCGGGCAAGGCCAGGGCGTAGCCTACAAGGCACAGAGGAGCGACGTTCTGAAGCTTCATGTTGAGAGATTGCTGGTTAAAGCGAAGAAGTAAAGTAGAGGCGAAAGTGATGGGCAATGGAAGAAGCGAATGAGTACCGGATTCGATCGAGAGAGCACTGAAGCCTGATAGCAAAAGACATATCCGGAGGGGATTTCAAGGATCCTTTATAGATCTTGGTGGAACATCATGCTGTGCTGAAAGTGAAGGATCAACAAACAATTATTCCCCAACTGGAATCTACGGTCCAGGTCTACAGCCGGCAATTGGCAGCGATGACTTCTTCATGCACATGCCGATATAGTTCTGATTGTATCAAGAGAAGTCTGAGCGGATGGGTCTCGCCCCACAGCTAAACAATGACTTCGATATGCCGAAGCCGCAAGTCGTGACAGTCTGCCAGGGACCCTGATGGCAAGACGGATCTCACTATTTCGAAACAGTGGTGAGTCCCGGATTCCTTTCGGTGGTTCGAAGCTAGAATGACGTGACGGGTCGCAAGGCCCAAAAACGAGGTTTTGTTCTAAGCACGCAAGGGCTCAAGTAGGGCACGCCCATCGCAGACGTTATCGCACTGCTGGCCAATGAAGAATAAGTCGGGTTGGCGACAGAACCTGTGGGTACTCAGGGCCTTCGGTCAGAGGCGTATAGACTTACAGGAACTTGGGGATTTTCTCGGCCTAGATGGTTCAACCCCAAACTCTCTCCATTCAGCCCTTGGATTAAGGTGAGCTGCGATGGTTGTCGGTGGAGCTCCGAATCGGAGATAGATAGCCGCCGACCAATCAATTGCAGAGCTCGCAGCATCCTCTTGATCGCTGCTTCAGTCGTCCATGGATCTTTTGCCTTGCACCGGAGAATGCAGCGCCTTGCACGACGCGTCCTCCTCCTTTCCAATGGTGCCACCTAGGTCATCGCCCCATTTGCATCTTGAGTTTGGGCTGCACAAAAGGATGAGGTAGGGAAGTCCAGAAAATGTCATCAGTGTCGGTGAGGGAGTCTTGAGTTTCAGAGCTCCATGTTTCACGACACTGTCATAGACTCTTAAAATGACAAGGGTTCTGGCAAAGTATCACGGACCGTTGCATGTCATCCACCGTGGCGTTTCAGGCGAACGAAGTTGATGGGTCAGTGGTGGGT